TAGGTGACCCTGCTTCGGCAGGAGGGTTGGACTAGATGACCCACAGAGGTCCATTCCAACCCCTACCATTCTGTGATTCTGTGATTCTGTTGTCTGTGGGAGACGGCATTCTGCCACGCAGATATACCTAATAGCTGTAAATTAAAAAAAAGCATGTGCTATACTGTTCAGACTGGCAGGCAGACTTCTGGGATTCTGTTCATTTATTTGCACCAGAAGTGTGGAGTTTTGACCAAATTTAGTTAAGGAAAGGATATTTTTATTTGGGAAAGGGCCAAGCACTCACTCAGCTTGTTTATACAATCTGCTCCATTGCTTACGCCCTTTGTTTAATTCTTGTCCCCACTTTGTCTCCGTTAGACCTGTTAATATCTCTCTGTGTTTGCTCACTTTGAAATCAAGCTAGTCCTTAATTGCTTGTTAATTGTAGTCTTCCAGAGCAAGAATGATGTAATTTAAACATCTAGTGTAGACACCTACCTTAGACCATGTCACTCCCCACTCTCTGCACAAGTAGGAGTAACGTACAGTGATACTGAGAGAGAAAATTTTCATTTCTCTGCTGAATTTTTTGTGCTTTTCCATATTTAGAAACAAATACCCAAATCTTGAAATTGTTAGCATTTCATCACAAACTGTTCTCTAAATTCATATCAGCGTCCACAACTAATACATCAAAGGCTGAAACCATGCCACCAGCTGAAGGAAAGGATCATTTCCTAGCACTGGAAGGCAGATTTAAACTACAGTTCAGGATGCGGCTCAGTGGCATCTTACAGGCAGTAGGGAGTAGAAGAGAAGCAAAACAGAAACAAGGAGACTTGAATAATGAGCAACAGTCGAAGTAGGGAGGTTTTCATCTTTTCCCTCAGATGGAGCAGGCTGCAATACAACAGGAACTGCAGGAAATCAGTCTCTCCCTCTATTTCTAACCTTTCCTATAGTTTTACACTCTTCTGAAATAGTCCTTTTTTTTGTATGGAAGTCTTGCATGCACTAGGTGTAGACTAAAACTTCTCTTCAGACCTGTAGCTATGCCTCAAGTCTTAGAAAAAGACTGTAAGCATAAGACGATGTTCAATGGAGAACAGGAACTATGACCATACTTAGGTACATGTTAACTACATGACTATCAAGTAACATAGCTATATCTAGTATATACTATATATAATACAGTATAGAGTAGTATTCTATCAAGTTAAGGAAACAAAATACTGCAAGACCTCCTACATATAATTTTCCAATTGCAGAAAATGAAATTTTATCTTGGATGAGTATATATTTGAGATCCACACTAAAGCAAAAAAAGGAAATACAGAGAAATATGCAAATACAGAAATATTAACTTTCACGAAAAAATTCAAACATGGTTTCACATTTAGCTGCAGTTAGTTGCCACTAAGAAGCCACGACTTCTTTTTAAGAGTCCTACCTTTTCCCCTGGGAGTCCTTCCAGTCCTGGTAGTCCCATTGGTCCCGGGTCTCCCTGATTTTTTTTAATTAAAAATAATTCCATAGATTAGAATTTCTGTACTCTACATGAGAAGCATTAAACAGCAAGCAACAGCAGATTATTTAAGATTAGTAAATGAACTAACCAGTTACTAGGTGAACAGATTTTGTTATGCCCTGTTTTAGTGATCTGAAAATTAAGCTTTTCCCAGAGGCACTGTATGAATATTTGGATTAACAGTTTTAATTTTGGTGAATGTCATCCAGAAGACTCCCATTAAGTGTTCTTGAAAGTCATGGTCAGCTCTAAAGCACCTCGAGGCAGCAGAGACATGGGGTGTGAGTGAGCATACGCTGTCAACCAGAGAACTAAACTCCAAGCCATTCCATGCAACCTTCCAGACACATCCTTGTTTCAGAAGAGAGCTCTGTTCCCTAAACAAAGCTTACTCTGCAGCACATGACACGCAGACTAGGACCCTGTGTAAATCTTCAAGTTTCAAAAGGAAACAAGAAAAGACTGCTCCACTGGATAAATCAGTTCAATGTGTAGAGTGTGGAGGCCCTTTAAATACTACTTCTTTTTTTAAAGAAAATTGACACATAATTTACTACAGAAATTTAAACTACAGCCAATAATTCCAGTATTGCAGCATTTCCCAGTTAAATCAAAAGCCACAGCAAATCCCTATCTGGATTTCATGAAGTCTCTGGCAGATCTCATTTTCCAGACCAAAATGTTGTTTGGGAGATGGTGCTTGCTGAGTAGGAAGTGGATGCGGGTACAGAAAGATGTATTCTGCTTCTTGGCATTATTGTGAAAAGACTTTTTTTTTTCCCCTCTAAAAAAGATATGAGGTGACTTTTTTTGAAAAGAGATTAATTAACTGTTTTAGGAAAATATCTCACAACTCCATGTTTTGCCCTGAGTACAGAGGAGTTCTGTTTTGGGTTTCTTATTGTCCTTGAGGAGCACAGTTATCACATCGGCGCATAGGTCAAAGGTTAGTTTTTCACATAGCTGGTTCTCCATTAACACTTGGCAAGGAATCAAACATGATCCTAGACCCTGAGCATGTTGGGTCAGTGGAGATTATGCAGCTTCATGATAGAGGAAGTCCTAGCCAGCTCTTAAAAATGTTACCTCCCCATACCACTTCGGTCTTGGCTGGGTTAGTCCGAGCTAGCTGAATTTCTGCTACTATTTTTGTGTAGATACTGTGTCTGCACTGCCAGAAAAAAAGACACACCTAAATGGTGCTGGCATGCTGCTGTCATGAGTAAAGACATTTCTCAGTAGCTCCACACTGACACTGAAGATAAAGACTGTGATATGGACCTGAGTCAGAAGACAAGAACCCTTCAACAGAAGACACTCATCATCATCTTCCAAATATTGTGATCTGATGTGTTCAGACAAGGCCTGTTTCTCGTGACATTTAAACAATCTACCTGTTGTGCTCTGACCTGATTCTTTACTACCAGGTGTCCAAGATGTTGGCTGAAGCTTATTTCTCCTTATTTATTTTGCCCAAGACTAAGAATTTGAAGACAGGACAGCAGCTGGAGAGGTGAAGTGTCAGCCTCTTGGTGTTTGAATGAACTCCTGAATGTGTTAAGGAACTCCGTAAGTATTTTTCTGAAGTAGTATTTTGTTTCATTAGTAGCAGACATAGCTGGTCTTTACTTTGCTGGAAGGGGTGTGATTTTGTTTCGAAAATGATCTCTCCAATATTTTTCAGGGTTTCCGGATCATTATCAAGTAGACAATTCATCAGCAGATCATGGGGAGCGCAGTTTGACTGGGCAAAATTTTCTTTCCTAACTAGCTCAGTTTCTACTCTTTTTATCAGCAAATTCTTCTCATCAGCTTCCATTAGCTGACACACGGTACTCATCCTGATTCAGTCATACTGCCTGAAGTTCCAAAGAGGTTTGCTGGACACAGTTCTACCACACTGACCATGAAGGAGCAGTACCTGTTTTGCTGCCTTACAGTGTTCTAGTGGTGTAACTATCATGCAGTTATGTGATGTTCCTTAGCTTTTAAAAAGAAGTACACAATCATAGTGAAATGTTAACTGCTGTGGAAGCAACTGTCCAACTTTTAAAACAATAGCCATTTAAAATGACATTTGATACTATCATACTTCTTAGGCTAAAAAATCCATACTCAAATTTTACTATTATCTTTTGGGTATTTTCACTGACGTCCAGTCATCAAGACACAATACCAAAGTTTCAACTTTGCCACCTTCAAGGCTAGGAACTGTAGTGACATATCACAAGCTAATGACAAATATAGTTTCTCTATTAAAAAGGCAAGATACAGCACATGTCAAAGACTTTGGGGAAAAATGTACACCCAGTCGAGATTTTGATCTACATTCTGCTGGCGGCTAGCCCTGTGCAACTGCTCAAGATTCTTCCATTAGTTGTCCTTCCTCTCCTTAGAATTTTTAAAGAAAGATCATGTGAAAAAGACATAACACAATGCTTAAAGGAAAAATTCTCAAAAAGTTAAACAGATGTGCTTTTGAACGTCAGACTGCATAGCTGAAAGGTATAATGGCTCCCGTGACCACCATCACCTTGCTCACCAGGAGCAATGTGATCGCACTGTAACTATCTGTCATGCCATTTCCAAAGAAAACATCAACTTCTAGTCATCACTAGCTGCCATGATGTAGCACACTGTCCTTCCCCCTCTATCAGTTTTGAATTTAATATTGAGAACAATCTAACAGTTCTTGAGGTATTTTCTACCTTCATTTCATATTCTCTATTCTTAAATATATCCAGGGACAGCTCAGCAAAGATGAACCCACAAGCAGTTAATATTATGTTCAGTCATTCATTATATTGTCATGTAGAACTATTTACCAGACATTGCAAAATATGCAAGCCTGGCAATTAAAAAGGCCTTTTCAGATGTACTGATTTTACAAGAGGTAAGCTACCTGCTAAAGAATGTTAATGGACTCTTCCACCCTTGTGACTAGGATCATGTGCTGAACTGCTTGGGGAATTCTCTATCATGACCAAAAAATACATACATACCACTGTGCCAGCATCTCCTTTTGGACCCTGCAAATAAATTAAGAAGTAGAAACACATTTAAAAAAGAACACAGTTACACAATGACTTTTTTTGTATTATTGCATTATGAGTGCACTTTGGTAATGCAGTGTATTTAGCATCAGTATTAAGTCCAGCCCTCTCAGCCGATTAATTTAGTATAAAATCTTAGTAATATTTGGTTTTTGTTTTCCTGTTCCAGAATATAGAGAAAGACAGCTCTGAAGTCTGGTGCGAGCCTATGACTACAAGCAGCAGGTAATGTAAGGATAAAGTGCTCACTGATGGCTACAACGTTTTTATGTGGTTACTAAAACGACAGTCATCTTGAAGCAGTAGAATTTGCCTATGATGCTAACAAGAAGCAGGATGCAGATAAGCGCACAGCATCTTTGGCTCTAGAGAACCAAAGCAACAGTGTTCAGCTACACAGTGGTGTATCTCCACTCTGCAGCGTGGAAGACACCAGTACTGTGTTACTGCCACAACATAATTCTTGTTTTTTCTGGACTGTAGCTACACGCAGTGAATCAGTGACACAACTGAGATCAGAATTCATAAGCTTCTCATTTCTGGCACCAAATCTAATCTGTTACAAAATTATGCCATCACTACCCATAAATATTATATTAAACTTATTAAGATATTAGGATACTTTCACTAAAGAGCCCCATACCAAATTATGTACAATTTTTGCAGCTTTTACTTGCTAGGGTGATATACTGAAAATAAACTACTAAAATATAAATAATAATATAAATAATAAAATATATAAATAATATATGAATAATATATACAAATAATATTATATAATGTATATAATATATAAATAGTAATATAAATAATAATATAAGTACTAAACTGTAAAATGGGCTAAAACACATAATAAACACATAAAATCACATACTTTATAATTTTCTACATACCCATCATAACCTTATTTTTTCTATCTTTCACACATAAAATCAAATTCCATGCCACTTACGAAAACTGCTTGCAACTAACCAATCCCTCTGTTACTACGTTAATTAACTATTAGTAATTATGTTTCTGTTAATACTTACTGGAGGTCCTGGTGGACCTGGATAACTAGGGACGCTCACGCCTCCCTGTAATAGCAAGTTTAAAAGTTGAGTTGGGCCAAAATTAGGTGTTGATTAGAAAAAAAAAAGGAAGAGAAATACCTGGAGTTTATACAAACTGCTCATTCCATTTCTTTCATTGTAAGGCATACCCTTTAAAACATAAAACCCAAGTAAGTGTCACAACTATGAATTATAAAAGCATAATTCTTGCCCTGTTCAAACCCTGTAGCTCAGCTACCTCAGATACCTGTGGTATCATTTTTCATTCTGGATCGATTTTTCAAAGATTCCAGACATTTCAGTAAGAACATAAGATACATACCAACACAGCTTGGGAATTTTTTTGAATTACGAAGCCAGAAATGTGTAAATCTCAGTGTACATTTTAATATTTATTATTATTATATTTCTTCAGAAGTAATTTTGTGTTAGCTACTATTCCAGTTAATTTGTAGTCTAGTGAGACCTACGGACATTCCCTAGGTTCCCTGAGTTCCCGGATCTCAGGTGCCCAAGCGGTCTAAATTAACCTTGTTGTCCAATGTTACTAGAGTAACTCATTTGATGAAGTTTCTTGGATGGCTTTAGTGATCTGAACTACGCGATAAATCCCAAGAAAAAAAAAGGAATACAGAAACCTTTTGCACAAAGACATTTTTGTCTTCTTGCACTATTAATATGTATTAGATTGACAGTCAATTCTTTATATTACATTATGTTTTACTCATAGGTATATTGTTCCTAATATAACATTCAAAATATAAAGCAAAATGTCTCACCGGAGGCCCAGGTGGTCCAGGTTTCCCAGGAGAACCTTCACTACCCTAGTACAGCAAGAGATTCATATAACTGATTCACTGTAACTGATGTCCACATCTATACCATACCCGAGCTATGATGACCACAGTGACAATAAACAAGAGATACAGTCAATATGAGCAGGTAATACCAAGAATAAATTCTCCTGCTCAGTTCCTGCTTAAGTTTTAGGCAAGTTATTAATCATTACTTTATACTAGTTTTTTATTTTGTTAGTTACTTGATGCTTTATGTGTAGTAACTTCCATGTGGCACAACAGTAGTGGTAAGCTGGGTTGTGAAACACTTCATACGTACCAGGAGGGAAAGCAAGAAAAAAAAAGCATTGTGAATATCAATTTCCAAGCAACTGGCAGATAAAAGTTAACTTTAATTTTATCCTTTGTTTATTATTTTGCAAAAGTCAAGTTTGATCACTCACAGGTAAATAAAGAAGAGCTACAGGTTGAGAAGTTCAGTTTATTTAGAAACACACTGAATAAAGATAGAGATCTTCTTTATTAAGAGGTGTAATGAATATCTTTTTGGATTTTACTGTAAAATACTCATCTGTGATTATCTGTATTTGTAGTCTGTTCTGCTGGTGTACACTGAATTGCTTACATTAAAATAAAAAGTTTCTGAGCAGAATGGTGGGCTCTTTGAAAAATAGAGTTGCAAAGGTTTCAACATCAAATTTCCCAAGCAAGATCTTTTCAAAATCTCATCACTATGATTCAGTTCAAAACACTCTATAATTTGGAACAAGTCTGCCAGAATTTTTCACTGACTTTGTTGGATCTTATTAAACATATGTCAATCAGACACTCTAGGCTGCAAATTTGAAATTATTAAGGTGGCAAAAGTCAAGCTAAGTGTTCAATGGCAATAACCAGCTCACCAGAAATATATACTTGTAATTAAATGCTTGTACTAGGATAATTGCCAAATTGTCCTGCTAATTGATAGAAACTGTCAGCCACCAAAGAGTGATTTGGAGTACTTTATGGGGAATAAAAATACTGTGCTTTAGAAAGCATATTATATGATCATTCCTCAAACATGTTCCACAGATAAAGGAAGGGTGAGGAAATTACTCTGGCTATATTTCAGTTTACCTCACCACTTTTCAGCCATCTGAATTTTGGCCTTTTTGATCGACGAGACACTAGTTATAGAGCAGTGGCTTCTCATTCCCACCTTTGTGTGAACTGTAAACAAGGAACTAACACAGACTGGTGTTTTGCATTAGCTTCCATAAGCAAGTGTGGTAAATTTTTGCTACTCTAGTCTGCAAGGATTCAGCTCTCAATCAATTTTTACAGTGAAATAATTTCAGAGGTTTACAAAATAGTTTCCTTGCTTATTCATACCAGAGTCAAGGCTTTGCAAAGTATTAGCAGGATCACATACATTGGTGAGGCAGTGTTAAGCCTGGAAAACTCCAGGCTAAAGCTGAGAAAAACTTCAGAAATGTGTATTCACAAACAAAATGGAGATCTTGTCTCAGAAATATTTTGCAGCAACCTAAGTTTACGTCTGCTGTATTTGACTGATCTGAGGTGCCCAAGAAATGAATCTGGCTGCTTAGTTATAATGGATAATATCGAGTGCCTGATAAAAGAGCACATCAAACACTGATAAAAAGCAGTGTTATAACAGTGTAAATTAAGTATAAAGGGATCTTATATATTTTTGCAGAATAACATACTCAATAACTTTCAGTGCTTGTAATGCACTTTTAAAGTATGCAATTACTTTTGACTAAAATACTGGTCAAAAATGAGAAGGAGAGCATGTAGTAACTAGTCATATACTATTTCACAAATGTATTTTCACTTTCCTAAATTTTACATAATATATCATACTTAGAGAACATTCTCTTCAACTTACATATACCACAAGGATTATGCTTCAAAATACAAGCACATACGTACAGCATTGTTTGGGGAAAGTACTTGTAATAAGACACAAATAAAAATCATTTGAAAATCTACATCGAGTCTTGTTTGCACTTTATGTTAAAAAAACCCCAAAACATAGGAGTGTAATGGGATTGCAAAACATTCACAGATCTTTATCAAGACTGAAAAGAAGGAATACCTTTTCGCCTTTTGACCCTGCTGGACCAGGATGTCCGGGTCTTCCTGTGACTCCCTGCACAACACAGGACCGGTTTATATTAGTTAAGAAACAATGAAACACGGTATTTTTATATTGCAGCTTAGATTTTAAAACCTGTGCTTTTTGAAGGTCATTTAAACCTAATTATGCTTCTCCTCCAGGTTTAAATATTTCTCTTCTGTTTGATAAAACAGCTGTGTCCTTCTGATAAGCCCTTTGACAGGTAAAACTTGTGTTTGCAGTTGCATTTTCACCTTGGCAGACTTAATGCACTGACCTTAAGTGGCACCTCTTGATACTGCTAAGAATCATGCTTTACTGCTAAAATACCAATTTGCATATTCTACATTAAACTTCCTAAATCTGTTACAATTTTTGAAAGAAGGGAAGCATTAGTACTGTCAGCCACCGAGGAATGAATAATGATCATACTAACTAATGTGATCCCATCCAGTATGCAGAAAATAAAATTTAAAAAAATTTCCAAGAGGCATTTTCCCAGAAATACCAACATTTACAAATATATTTTTCAATAACTGTAAATCCTGTGGGCTTATTTTCATACTTTTTTTATTGCGAAGCAAAGTGATTACTTGGTTTTGGCATTAAATGTTTTCAGAATGCCTAGCTAGAATTATTTTTACATTTTCATTACTAACATTATTACTGTAACTAGGGTACAAATACGTAATTAACTCCAAGTTTGCACATCATAAGTCACGTAACCTCACAGTCTCTAGTAATGCCAAAACTCCAAACCCATTTAAGTAACATAAACTTCGAGCCCAGACAATGACAGTATTTTCAGTAACATCAACTCACAACATAGTTGCTTTTATTAGAGCCAGTACGGGTAAGATTTTATTATTACTCTCCTAACAGCCAAAAGAAAGGAAAAGAAACTAAGAATATGAAGTTTTTCTGCACAGTTATAGCAACATCTGCAGAGACGGATGGGATCACAGGGGATACACCACACACTTACAGAAGGTCCACTGGGTCCTGGTACGCCTGGCAGTCCAGGAGCACCTTGAAGGCCCTGGAAATTAAAAGAGCATATGTCTGTTTCCTCTCCCACTTATACCTCTAAACTGCTTATAATTCAGCATGTCCAGCAGTATTATAACTATATTAAAGTACATTTTCATCTAAAAGGATGGCACTATTTTTAAGAACGAAAAAAAAACACCCCACCATGCAGGGAAAAGATTATCATTGAACAAGGTTAGAGGCAACTTCTTGCTTGACTGATAAACAACACTTGTCCTTCAACCTTTCACATTGTTAGCTTATGTCCTGTATATCTTTTTGTCTTTAGCTGTGCAGATAAGAGCAGGACAGCTGGCTTTTCCTTAGAGATTAATTTTCTATTTTCTATCACTAAAAGGATTTTTTGCTGGTGAGAAGACATCTACTCAGTCTTCTCAGTGTTACCTGATGCTATCTAAATGCAATGATGCTTTCTACCTGATTTATAGATTTTGTTTTTTTGATAATGTAATATCACATTTTTCATAGTGTTTAATGACCTACTTTCTGGCTCTTCTTCTATTCAATTGCCTGCAAATCAATGGATTCTGGTATCCACTTACTAAACTTATAGGTGGTGCAACTTACTACAGTGGACACAGGTAGGATTTGAGACAAGCCTGCACATCACTGAAGACTTTCCTCTGCTTAGTTGCAATTTTAGACATGTAGAAGTCATGTACTAATGAGAGTTAATCGCTCTCGGCTCCCCCTATAATCCACAAAGGGAAATAAGTCCCTCCCAGCAGTGACTGACTGTGTCTGCACAGGGTGCCCATCCTCCGACAAGAGGAGTCACCTCAGAAAAGGCATATTTCTCATGGTAAATGCAGTGTTTAAGCAAGCATGGCTAAGGGGTGGTCTAGAAAACCAGAGGCCAGGAGCCCCAAAACATGGGCTTGGAGGGAGAGACTGCAAAAAAGCTTCAGACAGAAATAAATCAAGAAAGATGTGGAGATGCAGTGTGACATTGATTTCACTTTCTTACTCCTGCACACAGAGGACATTGATCTACCTCTGCAGCTTTTCAGAGTGGCAACCCAACTGCTAATGTGTTCTCTGCTCATTTTGAATTACTTAGTGATGGTACAGTCACCTGGAAAATGAATACGAAGCCAAAGGAACATTTTCTGTAGTTGTTATGACTGACATTAGAAAAACCCTCCCCTAAAAAAAGGAATGCTTGAAAAAGGAAGAGAACTAAGCATCAACAAAGATTAAAAGGCTATTGGAAAGCACATGGAAGTTAATGAGTATATTTCAAAGTGCCTTGGATGCGCTTCTCAGCTTCTCTTCCCATTCCTATGCTAACCAAATCATAAAAACGAAAATAAATGCATTCTTTTACAATTTGTAAATTTGTAAAAAAAGTTACTTTTAAACTTCATAAACTCTTTCATATGTGTTTCTGAAAATAAATTCGCTTGCACTCTCATAATGTCATAATCAAAAGTTGCTGCCAAACACTGACAACATCAGAGCTAAGGCAGCTAACCAGCTTCCAAACAGTGAAGAACCATGTGAATATCTAACTTACTAACACAGCACAGCACCCTACTGAATCAACAAAAATATTTACAATTAATTTACTCTGGAGTCCTTTTAAAAAACCTAACTGCCAGTTCTAATCTTGCCTTTCCCTTATTATCTTCTTAATTGCCTCTAATACCTCACTTGATTCACAGCAGTTAAATAGCATCTGAATTGGTGAAACTGTTTGGCTAATGCCTCAGACTGCTAGGGTAGAATTGCAGAGGTACCCTATAGGGCACACAAAAGATGGATTACTTCCCCATTTATTTTTGAAGTAAAATTCTGCTTGGGCTTCGCTTATGGCTGCCCCATCATTTTAAGGTATATGTTCTAAATCGAACCTCAGGGGCACTTGCTTTTAAGAAGCAAAAATATAATGAGCTCTATAGATCCTGTAAAAACAAGAGGAAAAATAAGCATGATACGTTAGTCTGACAATCTGCTAAATTCTGGGGCAAAGCAGTAGCAGGAATAAATTTCTAATGTTTCTGCTGTATTTTGTTTTTCCTCATGTAACTGTTTACTTTTGGAAGCCAAGGATCCTGAGGAACACATATGTTCTTTTAAATTATTCTCATTCTACTACTGCTGGAAAATTCTTACTATATTATGGTCTTAGTGCCAAAGAAATGTAAAGCGCTCATAAAGAATTACGAAACCCTCAATCAATAAGTTCTAAATTCCTTTCATACTTTCGTTGTGTTTTCTCTTGTAGCCAGCACTCCCAAAATTACAAGAGAGTAGCACCTATTTAGCAGTGCCAGTTAACTATTTTGGAATTTCAGAGTGTTCATTAAAAATTTTGTAACAGACTACTTATTTTAACTCCTTCAGCTGGCTAAGCTCACCAGGATATCCATTCATTTACTCAGATTCATCACTTAATACCTCTGCTTTGGTGATTTTTCCATCCTTTTCTTTTTGACAGAGACTGCTCTTGAACTGTTAACTGCAAATATTTCAATTTAAAATGAAAGATACAGCAGCTATTTTGGATTCGGCACCACAAGTCACGTGGCTTTTCTTCCCTCTCCATAATGACATAAAAATATCTCTAAGAATGCAGTGTATGATGCAAAATACTGTAACTATTTTACACTCCATCTCTTCAAACATTTTCCAGTTTTGACTTAATAGTAATTGCTGCTATGACCATACCCATCAGAGCACTTGCCTAATGGAATTTTTTTGAAAGTGACTTCTAAAGGGGAACTAACCCAATGAAAGTAAATATATTATAAAACATGAAGTATTTTCTGAAAACACATGGCATTTGCCTATTCATTGCTCTATCCTATACTCTTAAAAATAAACATTGAAATGTATGTGAGGCTTTAAAATATACAAATGAGCAAAAATCCTCAGACAAAAATTAAATAGATGTTATTTAATTGAATAATAGCATTTAATTTTGTTGAAAAAAAGTCAGAGCCGAGGACTATTTATAGCAATACATGACTATCTCAGCAGTTTTAAAGAATTGAATAACATTCTGTGCATTTCATTCTCCATCTAGATCTTTATTCAGGTTCAGATAAGAATGTAACCGCTATAGAATTGAAGTAATTTTACCTCATCGCCCTTCTCTCCAGCAAGCCCAGGAAATCCACGTTCACCTTTGGTTCCCTATGAAAATATAACATTCAGACAAATACTTTCTATTAGAGAACAATGCATTTCATGCTCTGCAGGGTATTTTACGACCACATTTAATATATGCTAGTGTGAAGCCCTTACAGCGATAGTGCCTAAAACAGAAAAAAAGGCTCAATACAACCTGAAATCTTTAAAATGTGCCTCCCACTGAGGTGAAAGGAAACGAGTGGTTTTTACCTAGTAGGCAAACTAGCCAAAAGGCCTGATAGAGACATCCTACTAATACCAAAGAGCTTAAATGCTTGCCCAAATAGAGGGAGTACACTTTCATGGAATTAGGCTCAACTACAGGAGATACCTGTATGCTAAACCACATGGAATTTGATCCAGTTACAGTGAATAAGTTTGATGGATGTCAGTAAAACTTCAAGTCCCAGTGAAATGGCTGCGTTACTCCCAGGGGAACACAGTGCAAAGGTACAGAGCGGTCTGGCTGTTGCACACTTGAGGGAGATATGGGGAGTGTCCGTCTTCACCATGGGATTATTGCGCGACTGACTCACCTAAAAGCAGCCTACAGATGGCAATGCACTACTGGACAGCCAAATCTGAGCTAGCTTTAACGGACACAAGATACAGAAGAGCTATCCTGGCTTGGGACTCAGCTCGGGCTATTTTGCTCGTTATCCTGAGGAAAGGCAAACTGACACAGGAGAAGGGCTGAACCGTAAAAAACGTTTCAAGCTTTAAGCTGCTCAGATGCTACAGGGATAGGGATCAGACAAAAACGTCAAGACTGTCAGAGGTAAGAGTCTGGCCTTTTAACAAGCAGCAAAGCAACGTAAAGGATGCTCTTCAAAACTTACCTTCGGCCCTTCTCTCCCAGGGATGCCTGGAGGACCTCTTGTGCCGGGATCACCCTGAGGAACAGACACAAAGCAAAGTGATGAATAACCATTTTGTGGCATGGGCAGAAGGTCTGATCTATGCAGACCACTTCCTTCCCACCTCTGTGACCATCCCTTCATTTTACCCCAAAGCCTTCTCTGCAGTCCCTTCTTTCTGCTACACAAAGTATTCAGATATCCTTCCTTGTTTCCCTCCCCATCTCTCGCACACTCTACTCAAACCACGCTAACAAATTTTTAGCTTCATTTTGAGAGGACTCATAAATGCCTTCATTTTGGATAGTCCCAGACACACTCGTGTTTAGGTTTGAGCAGACCTTCCTGCTTGAAGGATTAGGTAGAGATAGAAGCTACCTGTTACTCTCACCAGCTTCAAACCTACAGTTGTTTTAAAGTAAAAGATTCCTGCTTTGTTGAGAGAAGCGTTTTCCAGCTAAATTACAGTCTTACAGAAGTGCTAACCACAAAACACAGAGAAATGAAGAGTGAAGCATAAAGAATCACTAAGAGAGAGAAATGACACAGAGGTAGAAGAGCACGTAACGGAGAAAGATAATACAACTACAAACAGAAAGAATCAGGGAAAAGCCCAAAGACAGATGTAAAAGAAATAAAATTTGGTAATGAAAAAGTCAATAAACCCTAAGTACATGTATAAATAAAGGACAATAGAATGGGATAATCTCTCTCCTCAGAAATGATATGTGCTTTCATACAGAAATCCTTCTGAGTACACTTTTCATTTTGGAATACGGCAGATCACTTCAAATTTTATTATTTTGCAAAATAATACCTTAGAAATTCTAGACTATTTTCACCATCTGGTGTATTACCAATATCAGTGCTACAAAGTAAAGTGAAGAATGGAGTGTACTTGTAGCAACTCATACAATGGACTGGACATACTCAAGGGGTATTTACTGGCTACCACCTCACATATTGTTCACATGAAATTTTGCAAAGTTCCTATAAAATACATTTGTTGGATATTAAAAAAAAATCAACAAAAATCTCAAAACTATTTTAGGCTAGCTAAGTGGGTCAGAAGTAAACCTACAGAAACTTTCAAGTGCATATTTTGGTTTAAAAAGCATGTCTATAGTAAACAAAAAGATCTAATCTCTGAAAATTTTTACCTTCAGTATAGCACCCATGTCTCCCACAAGTGGCAGTGCAATCTGAAATTACAACAGGCAGCTGAAATTAATATTTTACACAACACTACTGATTCTGTTGGGTTCTCACTGCTTCTGAAGTTTATATTGTTACACACATAGCTGATTACATATATATTGATTGAAGCTATTTTTTAATGAAAACTCAAAAGAAAAATCAGGGTGGGAAACAGTTTTTAAGTGTTAAATATTGCTGTCTATCCAAACTAACAACGTAATTCTTTGTTACAACTTCGATGAAGTTGCTTTAACCATGACAACAGCAGAACTCCAGAACATAGTAAGTTTCACTTTAAAATAATAATAGTAATAATAATATCTTGTTGGTTTTGTAGCATACCAGCAACAACTCATCACTATTGGAAATTCTCACAGACTATTCTCACCTGATTATCTTCAGTTGTTTTCCTTCTGCTCTCTCCTAGGTTTTGACTCTACTGTGAACTGTAGCATGAATTGTGGAGATGCCAAAGCTAACTTGAATAAACTAGCTCAGGTACTGCAAACAATCCAGCTACAGCAACATAAGCAACATGTATAGTATTTTGTCCTGCCTTTAAACATTAAGAATTAGTGCAAAACTCTGCGGTGCCATCGCTACATTGCTACCAATACTAAAGCTAAGCTATTTAAAGCTCAATCAATAGGTTTACACTATACTGCAATATACCTCAGATTTCCAAGCACCACCATTAAACTCATATTTAAAGACTCCCTGTAGAACTGATTGAACCGGCTATCATTATCTTCACTCACAAACCGACTCTTCAATTACCAGTGCTCATTTCTTCTTCTTACAATTGCTAAAGCAAAAATAGCCCATGGCATACTATAAAATTAGACACATTCAAATTTTGTTACTGTTTTTGTTCAGTCTGTGTCAATAATTTCCACCTTTAAGAAGAAAAATAAAATGTAAGCACTTATATAGCTTATTAGAAAAACTGTCAGTTGGTAGCAACGGGTGTCAAATGCCAGCTCAAGAGAAGCACTGCTGAACATACTTAACTGTAAGTGTAATCAGGAGTACAGCATCTACAATGTAGCCTCACCACCTCTGAAAGCACACTGAGAAGTTTTCTAGGGTGGGACATAGCCACCTAACACAACTTAAGGACATAAATATGTAAGGTATGAATCCGATCCTCTGCACAATGGTTAACTGTTCATAGACAATATCACCTGCTCTCAAAAAACCTGTAACAAGCCTTAAAAACAACCATCACATCCCTGCATGGCCTGACTTCTCATCCTTCTCCTCGTGACATTTTACAGACAGGCAGGCTATTGCCACACCACCTGTTGCTCTTTCTGCTGGCCTACACAAGTTCAAATCCCAGTCTCTCCTCTTTTCTAATGCTCTTATTTTAGCTGCAATATTATCTTCTGGCATAGGCCTCTAAACCCTCGGTGTGAAAGGGTCCTAACATCCAGCTGCAAGGGCACACCAGGCAGGAGAGCAAGCCTGCTGTGTTTGTGCCACACAGTTCGTCTGCTCTGTACCTACAGAAAGTCCATCCCAACTGCACACGTACCGGAGAGCCACAGCTGCCTACGCTGAACTCCGAACAACTCTATGATATATGCCGGGCTTTTGAAAATGCTAAAATGGCCTTAATTTTCTGGACTCACTCTTGCTTGCTACATCATCCTTTAAAAATAGTCTCTCCTGAGTGAACAGTGTTTCAAGAGAGCTCAATGCAGCAATTCTCCTGTTAGTAAACTTTATCATTTAGACTTGTCTGTTTAACACCGGCATCACATTTTTAGCTTACATTCAGTTTACAGTGCACTGTGCCTTCCAGACCTATTCTATTTACTGATTTTGTTTTTTCTTATTAAGCACTTTATGCTCATCTGTCTTGAGTTTAATCTTGTTGACTTCAGACTGTCTCTGAATTTTAAGTTTTGAATATATCTTCAAAAAGCTAGCAATCTTTCCCAGTCCAACTGCCGAGTTTATATCTACTTATCCTAATCAAATTAAATCACTGACAAGAACCGGGTATGGGAGAGAAATCTCTTTCAAAGTTTAACAGTAATCTGATGACAGGGACTCATATCCACAGTTTTTGATAAGCTATATGGAAATTACTTCAAGAGCATTCTTTGTGTGCTTATAAAAACCTCATGAGGACAGTCTCAAAGTTTTACTGAAGCCAAAATACACAATGTGACTCTTTCCTCGCCTTTCCCAAGAAAGTTAATCCTCCAAAGCTGTAAATCTGATTTATTCCATGACTGGTTCTTAACAAAATGATGCCATTTTGTGTTTCCACTTTATCATTCATATCACTGGTACTTAGAACGTATTTTTTTAAAAAATATTTCATAGCTTGCAATTCAACTTTTTCCAACTGACGTATTATACTCTATGTCCTCTTCTGTTCACCTTTTATGAAAATCTGTTTTCTGTTAGCATCTCTCTGTCTCAAAAGCCTCACCTTTCTCAAAGTATTCAAAGGTAACTGCTAATCATTCAGAGACTGTTTTGCTTCATTCTTTGGGTGAATTACACCAGACCTTCATGTTGTATCTAAAGCCTCTTTAACTCCTTCTTTTTTCTAGTAAATTGATCAAAATTCATTTTATGTATTCTTTGAAAAGTAGATTTTTTTCAGTGGGCAGTGAGAATCCACTGAATTATTCCGTTTTCTCTGCACTGTCTATAATTTGAGCTCCTTGATTATTAAATAACAGACTTTACTAGTTCTTCAAATAACTGTATTCACAGTGCCTTTTTCTTGTTATTTTTATATCCATTCCTAACTGAAGATCATTTTATATCTCAGTCTTTCTGACTCTCTGACTTGAGTTCTACCTTCATACTCAATGCCAGTGACAGACCTGCTTTTATATACTGATTTTTAGCCTTTGGGGAGCTACCGATACTCGTATATCAAAGCGCTGGACCAGTTTGCTAGTGCAGGAACCAAGAAACCAACACATCAGAATCACCATCCTGGTCCCCAATAATCAACAGCGCATACACGCTAGCTAGTTCCCAGGCTCTTCTCTGGAGCAAGCTGACTCTTCTCTCCGAGATTAAATCTTTGTGTGGTTGTGGGGCTAGTGTACCCCTTGATAAGCTCCTTGCTGTTAATCCTCAGGCTTACTTGTGGACTGTCATGCACCTGTGCCATCAAATGTTTAATTGAAAGCACGATATATTTTACTGCTTAATGCATTCCCACAGCAGCTCTGGAACATTTCTGAATTCTTCACAGGCCACCAGCAGTCTGCAGACTACTCTGGGGAATCTTGCCTTAGATTTGCATTGCTGGACACTTGGAGATGGACCTCAGTCATAAGACACAAAGCAAGTCTCTGCATCTGAGGAGTCTGTCCCATGCTCAGGTACGTGAAGAATTGTTAGTTAAAGAGATGAACAGACTGAGACCACTGAGATACTCTACTCACTCCAAGAAAAGGCTACATTCATGCCTTCGCAAGGAGCAGAGGCTTTGTTAAAGAACATAACACCATTCAAATATTAGGTTTTGTAATTTTTATTTCCTTTGTTTTGATATGTCTTAAAGAAACACTACTATCACTGTATCTCACTGTCATTTTTAAAACTCTGAGTTTCACTAAAATCTCTCAGGAAATATCAAATCCTATTAAACCAATAGGATCACAGATGAGTTTAACAACCTTTTTTTTTATTTTTAGGCTCTGTGTTTGGTTTGTTTCTTCCAACCATCCACAGATTTTTGTTGATGTAATTTTTGTTGCTGGAATGCTTTCCAACAACCACTCAGGTAATTCAGAAAGCTCCATTTGCTGTCATAAAAGCCTCTGTAAACATTTGTTTCTAAAGAGAAATTTGCTTTTTGAAAGTTCTGAGGTAATTGTTGGGAGTCCAGACAGAAGCAGGAATAACGACTGAAGTTTTGCCATTCTGCAAACTTTGCAGATATGCACGTTGGGTTCTCCTGACTCCCAAGCAAAATACTCAATTATCTTTAAGGGCACAGTTTGGTCTGAGGCATGTGCAGGCTTTTTCGATCTTGCAGTGCTGGACTTCACAAGATCTGCAAAGCTACAGCATTCTTAAATACAAATCATTTCTGTAATACCCAAGAGGAGATGATAACTCTTAAAGTGTGGTGAAGGATCAGAATTTATTTAGTGTTTTTGTTTTCAAACTCAGCCACTTAATTTCTCATTAGTGCTACAGGGAATTTATCGCATTAGAGACTAACTAACCTCAGAATTTCATTAAAAATTAATGTCTTCTTTCTGTGGCACAGCAAAATTAGCTTTGGAATCCCCAAACATTTCCTTCAATATTTTAACAGGAATAATCAAAGTATACTCCTGAAAATTTCCATTATACAGAACTTCTTCTGAGCCTGAAGAACACTATGCCAAGTTATAGCTTGGCAGAAACTCTAGTATAGAAACTGTAACACCTGAAGACAGGGTAATTCTCCTGTACATGTTAATATAAGTTTAAATTACACTGCAATATAATCAAGTAAAAAAAGAAAAGCAAAGGATATAATAATTGAAAGATTAAATTAATTTAACCAGTTGGACTTCTAGGCTTGCTAGGTTCTCTCATCTCCTTTAAATTTAAAATATTTGCACCAAAGCAAATGTATGAGCTTTCCACATATACTTACAGGATCACCTGGAGGGCCTGGTAGTCCTGGCTTTCCATCTCTTCCTGGAGTGCCCTAGAAACAAATGTAACATTTGGTGACCTCAAATCATTGACAAGGGACACATTACTTTTTGTTGTATATACAGAGAACTGTCACTTACATTAATACCAGGGGTACCTGGAGTTCCTGGTAATCCTGGGGGTCCCCTAGGCCCCTAAGTGCAGGAAAGGTCATTTAGGATTTAAGAATGTTTTCTTTTACTGTAAACTTCATAAAACTAAATTAACGGCTTTTATATTAAAGAGAAAACTTATACCCTACCTGCACACCTGTGGATCCAGTTGGACCTATAGGACCCTGCAAGAAAACTCTGAATAATCAGTAGTTATACTTTTTGAGACAAGCGAGATGAAGTTCGTCAAAAAATACTGAATATGGGATATTGGTGCAGCTTGTATTGCAAGAAATACTTGCTTTAAGGCGTGGCTTTAAACCCAAATCTAATTTTGCTAAAATTAGAAAATTCAAGAAATTGCTGAGGCCCATTTTTAAGGGCAAGTAATGCCAAAGAATAACGGTCTGTGGTGAAACTTGGTATTTAGGTAGAAGATTCGTAAGAAAAGCTGATATTCAGCTGAATGAAAGCAAATTAGATTATTTAAATATAAATGTGTCACTTCTGAAATTGAGATTTGAAAATATTTTAACTGAATAAGTTATTTTTAAGGATTATTATCTTGGATTAAGATCTCAAAATGAATCTCTAGTAACCTTTCTCAAACATTTTCTCTCTATGTCTGAGTGCTGTTGATAAACTATAATGTATCAGCCAACTGTATTGGTCTATACCTGAGATATTGGCCTATTAACCATGGTAGAGCTCAAGGAACAACGTGTATCATCTATAACATCAATTTTTTACTGAACACTCTGAAGGTACTGCAGATGTATTTCTTTCAAGCCAACAGAAAGAAAGAATCCTGGGAAACAAGCTGAATAGCTGAAACAGTTATTGCTATACAACAGCTATTTAGCATGAATGCTCTAGACACTGCATCAACTTGCTCCATGCTTGAACTTAAACTGCACAGAGATGCATGTGGGAAGCTGTTCAAAGTCAGAATTTTACTATTTTCTGGCATAGTACCTGACATTGTAAGGTTCTCATGTATAAGCAGTAGGCTTAAGCTTGTAATTAGCAGTCATCACAAATGCAAAAACTGGGAGCTGATACAAAGCCTTCCACAATTCTTCCATGTGTCTTTGCCTTTTCCAGTACCAGCATAAGTTTCAAAATGCCATAATCTAGAATGCTGAGTATACCTCTCCTCTTGTACCAGTACTCAGGCTGGATTTTGCCGAGGACTGCAAACAGTTGTTGCTTAGAAACAGACACAGTCTGAAGATGTCTCAACACCACTACTAGGAAGCGCATCCATAAAGTAGCCATTGGGTCTTTCAGTTCTCCAAGGCTTCAGTTCCTCCCTTAGCACTAGATCTTTGTGGGTCTGGATAAAGGGAAAAGATGCTGAGTTGGGAGTCAAGTCAGAAGGGAGTTCATGGCATGGCTTTTCACTATTCTTTGTTTACTTGTTGCTGTTTCTCAGTGATGCACAGTAAGAAGCCCAGATTCTGGGTGTTGGTATACTTACTGGTGATCCCTGAATGCCTATTCCAGGGGCGCCCATCTCCCCAGGTGCTCCTTGTACACCAGGTAGTCCTCTTTCTCCCTGAGAAGAGTTCAAGGCTTTCAGTTACAACCTGCCTGAAAATATAAACTAGCCTGTTATCATGCTTTTTTTAGAAACAGAAATAGTATATTTTTTACCTTTGGCCCCCTTGGACCTGGGTTTCCAGGATTACCAGTGGTACCCTGGAGAAAAAAAAAACACCCAAAAAACAAAACAACAAACTAAAAAGTCCCAGAAAAAAAGAAATTATGTTTTCAAATCAAAGTGACTAGCTGAACTTCATTGTCAAAATTAGTCAGCCTTTATAAAGAAACTACGACAGATTTACATATGTCTTCCTTTTTAATAGCACTGCCACTAGGATCATTTGTGAGCCTTGCATTAACAATACAGATCTGTAGACTACATTTCAATGCACTTGCAATACCACTATAACATATATTTGAACTTGGAAATGACATCTGAAAAATTACTTCTATTTTTTTCATTGCACAGTTAGAGTTCTTGAACAGTTTTCCTTACAAGAAATAAAGTCATAAAAGCCTTTTCAGATTATGGATTTACCGGTGTTCCAGGTAGACCTGTTCCAGGAGGCCCCATATCACCTTTTGGACCTGGATGTCCAGGCGGTCCCATAATCCCACCAGGATCCCCCTACAAGATAAATTTGAATTACTAATTGAAATGTGAGAATTTTCTCTTATTAAAAAAGCCTAAATATTATCAAGGTTATGCTAGAAGGTGACAGTACTTTGAGAAGGAATAGACGGGAAAAAAAGGCCACTCAAATTGTATAGAATCATAGAATGGTTTTGGCTGGAAGGGACCTTATCCCCCAGCTAGTCCCAACCCCCTGCCATGGGCAGGGACACCTTCCACCAGACCAGGTTGCTCAAAGCCCCATCCAGCCTGGCCTTGAACACTACCAGGGAGGGGGCAGCCACAACTTCTCTGGGCAACTTCTTACAGTGCCTCACCACCCTCAGAGTAAAGAATTTCTTTCTTATATTTAATCTAAACCTACCTTCTTTCAGTTTAAAGCCATTACGCCTTGTCCCATCACTACATGCCCTTGTAAAAAATCCCTCTTCAGTTTTCTTGTAGGCCCCTTCAGGTGCTCTAAGGCTGCTATAAGGTCTCCTCGCAGCCTTTTCTTCCCCAGGCTGAACAGGCCCAACTCTCTCAGCCTTGCCTCCTAGGAGAGGTGTTCCAGCCCTCTGATCATTTCTGTGGCCCCCCTCTAGACCCACTCCAACAGGTCCATGGCTTTCCTGTGCTGAGGGCTCCAGAGCTGGACGCAAGCTAGTATACAGCTCTGTATTTCATAACGTACAACTGTAAGCAAGTGAGACTACTCAGCTACCAAAATAATTGCTATAATTTTATCAAATTTTCACATTTAATTCAACATAGATTCAGCTCCCTACATAAGTAAGTACTCAGCCTAGGAGACAGGAAAATCCTGTATGTTCTCCTATGTATTATTCACAGGCACCAACATACTATCAAAAGTGTTACATACGTATGTATAGAAAACATATTGGAAGGCTTCGATTTTGTATCAAACATATATTTTCCTTCAAAAAGTTACAAAAGAAGAAACATGAACCCCACAACCACTGACAACAACTAACATTCTCTCAATTTTCCATGCTTGCTATGCACCTGAATTACATTTCTTTGTCCCCAGACCCCTAATACGCAGGTTGTCACTAAACCCTGTCAGTTACTTCACAGTAACTGCTTCAAACTCTCTTTCTCTCTAGCCGTGTATCGCTAGTGCTAAAAGCCTGGTCTTCATTCTCTGTTTTTCAGTTCTCTGCATGCAGCATCTCTTGCTCTGCATCTCTACAGCTCCTCTTGCTTACACAGGTGAATTTGTGCATTTTATTATGCTGTCTTCTTGTCTTTTACATGCTCCTGCATCATCATCTGTGATTCATTCTGAATCCACCACTTCCCATTTTGCAAGATTACTACGTTTTTGTCATTGTTCTGCAGTTATTTTCTTGTCCTGCCTTTTCATCAGCTCGCTTCCTCAAACCATTAATGGATTTTATTAGTTCCCCTGTACCCCACAATCTATAAATACCATAACACATCACACAGCTCACAGTATGGCTGTATATCTTCTTTTTCTCCCCTTCTCCACATTCAACATATACCCCCATACCATTTTTAACTCTCGTTGATGTAGCTGAATTCTAAGGGATTTCTACAGAGCAAAATACAATGCCATAAAGAGATCCCAGCCTCGGCTCACGTCTGAGACAGCATAGCTGCCCCACTGCTCTGCCAAGAACAATATGTCTGACTGTGAAGTGGGATTTTACACACTAGTCTGGTTAGGACACTATGCTGGAAATGGTATTCTGTGGTCAGGAGCCAAACTGGCATGTCTTGCACAGATTTAATGCAAGAACCCAATGCAACTTCCTTGAAATATTACTTAAATTATGAATCTAAAGACAATTGGGTTGCCAAACTGGCCTGCAGCATCTCCGAGGACCAGACAGGCGTTGCTGCTTGTACATTTTAAAATCAATTCAAAAAGCAGCCACACAGATGCACTACAGAAGGATGGAAAGTTACTTCAGAGATGACAATCTAATATGCTCTAACATATCAAGCTTAATTAAAAACACTTAAAACATACCTTGTCTCCTTTAACTCCCGGGTTTCCTGGTACCCCATGCTCTCCCGGTAAACCCTGGAGTTAATAAAAATATAACTTGACATTTTTATAGCTATTGCCTTAAAGACTATTTAAAATTACAGTGATAATAAGTTTACACTGGATTATTTACTGCGCATTAGCATTGCCCCAAAATTTTTAAAGAGTACAAGTCAATAAATGCTTCTTTAATCAAATATATGAATCATTTTTCTTTAAGTTGAAATGTAATAATCAAGATTATTTTCTGGACCCTGTCACGGCAGAATGGCAGAGACTGACAGTTTTGTTTCTTCAATTTCAGAATAATTCCAGGTCTTGAAAAATCAATCATTTTTTCAAGGAAAGCAGTAGCAGGTACAAACTTCAGTTTTAAATAAGCATCTCATCTTTTTTTCTCTATGAAGGGCTGCATGATATCCTGCACTAGTTACTTATTCAAATTTGTATCTTAAAAGCCTCAATGAATTCCTATTCCTGCACATTATTTAATGCACCAAATTCCTTTAAAATGTTTTAAATATTTAATGGGCAGTCAAATATCCTTTAAAGTGTTTTAGATATTTAATGGACAGTCAAATATTTTCAGCAACATACATATATTCCATAGTTTCTTTTGTCTAAATCTTCCCATCTTTCGCACTTTGATTTTAACTTCAGTATGTTCCTTTGCCTTTTGAATGAAGAATTTGTCATAAATGCAGAGAAACGAAATAAAATAAAATCTAAATTAAATATTAGATAAAAATATCTAAATAACAAGGAAGGTTAAATTGTGTTCTTTTACTACGCTGTAACAAATGCAGAAAACTATTTCTAAAACCCTTCAATGCTATTCAACCAACTATTTTATCAAGCATTTTATTAAGAATACCAGTAATTTCCACACTAAATGATAAAATTGTCAAAACTGAATAGTAAAATCTAAGTGTGATACTTAATCCAGCATGGAAAAATTAACTTTCTAAGAAAAATACAAAGAAACACAGACTGTTTCATTATAAGTATATATGGCATTTTTAATTTACTGATTATGGATCAGATATCATATCCAGCCCTATCCCCTTTTGATATCGACATAAAATATATACGCTCTATCTTCTCTCCTAAGGATTTTTCTGATTTTTTTTTTTTTTTTTTGTACCTTTCCTTAGGAAAGGAAAGAAGCAAGTCTTATCTGATGGATGACTCTTTGATGACACAAGTGAAAGTAAAACAAGTTTCAACCTTGCATAATTTTCATCATGCTGCATAAGATGAATTCCTATATTTGTTAATCCAGAATGTTTCCTCTTTAGAAGGTTAAAAAAAACAACGAGCCTCAAATAATATGCATATGTCTATAATATGTTTAAATATATGTTTTTATATGCTGGAATTTTATGTACAAATGCAGTCTTCAAGATCATCTGTATCTAGGATCTACATATATTATATTTTGCATTTATCTGTTCCTAATGTCGCTTCATCAAAGATCAAGCAGGTCAGCAGTTTCAACAGCAACAATTATGAACTCAAGCAGGATGATGACAATACAAGCAAAGCAGAAATGCAGTATTTTGTTATCTTTCACAGTAAGATTGGGGATCTATACATAAATAAAGCACAGCAGAAAAGGCTTACTAACTATTGTTACAGAAGACAGGTAAATTAGACACAATTTTAAAAATGTGTGCCTCAGTTGAGTAGGAAAATAAGGTATAAAGAAACGGTCAATAAGTAACACAGTACAAAATGACTACATGCAGATTTAAATACCGTGGGTTTTTTCCCCTGCCAGGAGCTGAAGATGCTGTACTCCAGCTGTCACTTTGCTTATATCCCTAAGACTTTTAACAGGTCAACAATAAAAAGTCTGCCAGCTGTGTACTGGTCAGAACTGTTTTTTAATATTAATAAAGCATATGACTTAAAAGTCTGTTCAAATTAAGGGTTGTCTTCCATAAAGTAGTCTCAGAGCACGCGTGGAAAGGCCTAAGACAAAATGCAGCAACACCAGCTCCTGGATGCTTCTGTTTGTAGAAATAAGATAAAAACCAAAACCAACCCACAAAGCAAAGATCAGAATCCCAGTTCTTTTCAGGTGAATGGCTTAACTGCCAGGCGAAAGCCAAGCTTTCCGTTGTCTACTTTTCTTGGTCCACTTCTTGGATCTAAGCAGTCAAACCTCCCAAATGGTACTTAGAAACCATTTTATGGTTTACCAAGAAAGTGAAGGAGAATTTGGGAGATGGGGTAGGTGCCACTTGTTAGGTTATGTGGCAACACCACTGTTGCAGACTAAAACCTAATGTCAGTTTACATGGGGGATTAGGCAGAACATAGCTGTCTGCATACCTAAAAAGGGACTGAGCCGTAATCAGGGAGGCAGGCAGCCACCTCCTCAGAATAGGCCTTCTGCTCTATGAGGGTGTCAAGTCAAACGTCCAGGGAGCTTTCAAGCTTAGGACAATGGTGCCTAATAGTTTGACATATTTCCTGGAGTATTCAAACTGGATTGAAGATTAACCCGTGCTCTCCTTGCCCAGAGGCACAAGGGTTACAGGCATGCTGGATCTCAGGGGAGGCCCCTACCAGTTTGAGGGATCCTGACCTGCCAGCAGACCCACCAGTCTGTTGTCCAGTGGCATAGTGGTTACAGGTACATTATAACCCCCATGAAGGAGGCCCCCATCACCTTGAGAAACCTCAACCAGTTGGCAGACCTGAATGTGGGGCACACAGAAGTGTAATAACTACAGACACAATAAAACTCTGCTGAGACCCTCCTCGACAGTCCCAACCCACCAGTTTTGCACCCACAGGCATAAAGGTTACAGGCACACTGCGTCTCTGGTGAGGTGCTGATTCCCCCTGCTCCTTCTGGAGGGCCTCCCTCAACAGGCCATGACCTTGTGGTTCAACAAACCATCTGTATCCTGTTCCCGACACTATATGACAGCCTGTACTAGATCTGCATATCGGGGTTTCTTTAAGAACCACTGAGATAAGAGCTTTTATCCTTCTTGATTATCTCTCACTCTCACTTGTTCTCCTGTTAGCACTACGTTCATTGGATCCTGACCTCTCCTTCCAGCAGGGAGACTGCTGCTCGTCTGGGATGGTTGGGCAGCAAGTTGTCTTGGTTTGTGTTGTACAGCTGCTCACAGTTACCAGTCTCAGGTGTCAGTTGCTAAGGTCCCTGGCAATAGTTTCCTTGCATCTCCCTGATCTCCGTGACCTTCCTCCACTTCCAGGACCTTTCCTCCAGCCAAGATCTTCCCCTTCTTCCTTGAGACAACATCTCTTTACTTTCAGGAACCCTTCTATTTTGGCACCGCTGCTTCTTCCAGGTACCCTCACCCCTCGGTTCTTGCCATGTAAATAGACTATGTGCAGAAGCGCATCAGGTGATCCGCCTCCAAATTGGTGAGTCCGTCTCATGCCTTTTTATTGACTGGAGACCCCGGGATGTGCCACTTTTGTTTAGTCCAGGTGCTATCCAAATCTAAAGCAGTCCCTACTGTTGCACCTAACAAGTAGTAGGCTTCTGCTTGAGAGTTCAACAGTTCAGGTTATGACATTCTCGCACGGGCACACAAACACACACACACATATCACCTGCCACCTGTCAGTGTTCACAAATTAAGCTAATTTTCACCTACAGCAGCCATATAATGGCTTTAGGCACTTTATGTCTGTCAGCAAGCCACTGCACCATTAAATTGGAATATCAACCAACAATCATAAGAATAATCTCTCATTCCACTTTCTGCAGAAGTATTTTAGTAATTTAAACTATTGAACAGTAATTAAAAAAGGAGTTTTCTATTAAATTCATTCTAACTAATACTTCTACTCTGGCTAAAAATTTTAATACCTTCCCTAGTTTTAATGAAATTATGTCTTGCTCTGAATATGAGTTTTATTTTAAAATCTGACCTAAATGCTAAGATAATAAACATAATTGCTTCTTCTCTTCACCTTTTCATTCTTTACCTCTTTTACAGGAAGTAAACCAAATCAGAATAATACAAAACCACAGACAGAAATAAGGAAGGCCATGTGTTTAAATCCTTGGGGTAGTCTTACTTTCCTAGTTTCTTCTCACTTCACTCTACACACACTGCCCTTTCCAGCTCACAATATAACATTATTAAAACTTTGCTAGAGATTCTTTCAATTTTCACCTTTTTGTAGAGCTAATTACCTGTGCAAATTAGTATTATCATCCTTACTTACTTGTGCAGAACATTATACAAGGACAAGAACATAACCAAACAGCAGAATTCTGTCCTGAGTCATCCTGTACTACTGTGCTTTGATGATTGATTGCTGCAGTACCACCCACAAAAGGAGCACCTATGATACTCTTGTGGTACTGCTTCACTGGCTAACTATTCACACACCCCACTTCCACAGCTTGGTGAACTTGCATGATACTTACAACTTCTCCTGGCAGTCCCCTGGGTCCAACAGGTCCTGGAGGTCCTTGCAGTCCCTGTGAAACGACATAGTACATGCCTGAGGTAAAAGACAATACACTTGTTGTAATTCAGGGTAAAGCATTCTTATATCTAAATAAATTAAAACACCTGGCATTAAAAGTTATCTTCTACATAGAGTGAGAAGTACAGAGTTTGCTTACTCTCCATTAATCTAACGTTTAGTCCAATAAATCTTTGTGACAAATACATACAAAACACAAAGTACGTATACAAAACAAATACAAGTAAATACAAAGGCACTGCCTAAAGTGAAAGACGAAACAAAAAGGGTAAACCAAGGAGATTTCCTCCCTCAAGGGACAGATCTACAAGGGATTTGTGAACCAGGGGATAAGTGCTCCTCTTTTTGGAATTGATCAGAAGGAGTCCAGAGCACTGAAAGAAAAGACGATTGCAATGTACAGATAACAGGATGACTTGGTGCAAACCCTAACGATCCTTTGGATCTCTGCGAGCCTCTTCCAGAAGGTATACAGTGTGAAGGTGACCACTGCGGTAACAACAATTAGTTCAGCAGCTCCTACCAAGGAAGGGCATCAGCCTCCAAAGAGCAGTATAAGGAGTTAGAGTGGAAAATCATTTTTAAGACCACAATTTCATGGACCCTATAGCTGCATCTACTCCCCCTGGGACTTCTTTTGATGATCTTGGGTACTATCCTATCCAACAAGAATAGTGTTGAGGAGAGGTTACATTTTCACAGTTTCCAATTCTACCTTTGTTTGATACAATTCAAGGCATCATGAGAGATCCTCAAGAACAAACGGTGCTTCAGTCACTTTCTTCAAAGCCAGGCAACGACTACTTTACCATTACCTGCAGACGCATGGGATTAAGCATAGGAGCCGCTAACTGGCAGCGGTTACATTCCTTGCCTCACTCATGGATAAGCAGAATATGCCCAGCTATTGGTGGATTTGTAATTGAAAAATGGGTGGCCATATTCTCGAGTGACCAGAGAACATTTGTGCTTTGCATTAATATTCCTTGCTGAGTGATGCTGGGATCAACAAGAATTTTATGAACTAAAAATAAAACAGCCATGATCTGTGCACAAACTTTTGATATAACCTATTTTCATTCCCTCTCCTTTCACACTAGCTAGAGTTGATAGCATTCAGAATCCTCTTGTATAACAGTATACAATGTAATGGTTATTAATGGCAACAATACCTTTCACATACCTGTGATCCTGGATTTCCAGTAAGACCAGCTGGTCCAGGCTCTCCTGTTTCACCCTAATGATATTGTTTGAGAAAAAAAAATCCAAATTTACTGTTACATCTCCCAGTACCAGATATGTACACCAGCAATGTATATAGTGTGTATAAGTCAAAAAATACCTTATTTCCTTTCGATCCCTCGATTCCAGTTTCTCCCTGAAAACCGCAGGTATGAACCATAAGAAGTTAAAACTTTAACTAAGATCAACTAAGAGTTTAATTTGCTACCTTAAAATATTATAATATAGTTTGCAAACTTAACAAATACTGAGAAAGCATTGAAGAATTTCTGATGCCTTGTGGAAACTCTAAAAGGCATTCCTCTTTCAAACTAATTCTGTTTGCAGGTTTTCCTAGTGTTTTAAAGAAAAATCATTTGAAAACATCACATTTGCTTAAGAGTTTCTTCAGTCTAAAGCCTATTCTTCACCTCTAAATCACTACTGGTGACATAGTATTCATCTCCAAACCCAAAAATTATTACAGTATGCCTTATTTTGTGTATTATAATATGCTAATTACAAGTATCTGAGCAACCTTCAGTTGTTTATTAAACAACATAAATAGCTTTTGCCAAATGTCACAAGAGAGGACAATAGTTAATTAAAAATAAGCAACACATGTAAACAGACTCAAAGAATGAGTGTTCTGAAAATATACCCCAAAATAACAAAAAATTATGCAGAAATAAAATAGCTACAAGAAAACTGCCAAATGTTAAATGCCACACTGGAAACCGGTAAAACAATTCAAATAATACAGTTCAGCCCACATATACGTTTGTGAAATAACTGAAAGAACGAACAAACCTTCAGGGAACAAAAAAAGCATGTACTTTTAACTCAGTTCATGGAGTGTGCCAACTACAGAAATGGTGAAGAACAGGGCACCTCTGGGTTTTGTTTATAATCTGGATGAACTTGATGCTAGTGTAAGGAGGAGATGATAAACATGCTATCCTACATAATCACTGAATCTAATGAAAGTGTACAAAGAAAAGAATTACAGCATGAATACAACATGAGATCATATCATACATCAATTATTCACATCATCAGTTCAAAACATAGCTATACATACTGGATCTCCCTTGCCCCCTTTCTCAGAAGGCTCTCCCTACGGAAACACAAAGAACAGGTTAACATAAACATATTTCAAATGGTAAATAGTACTTATGTCTGGTTTTGGTGAAAAACCCTTGCGAGTGGGTGTTTTTTTTCCTAACCTATGTAAACTACAAATATACGGACTACAAAAGTTTACTTTAGGGATGATGAGGAGACCATGACTACAGAGTGAAAACAGTACTCTACCACGCGTGATCCTCTCAAGCAGGAACATTAACTAAAAAGACAGTGATGATATGTTTAAGCTGTGTACAAACCTGACAACTTCTCAAACATAAGAGCTTTATAACACACAAAATCATGAATCTGTCATATTCGCAGAGTAAAAAAGTTTCCGCCTGTATGAAAATTGTTTATGCTCAAGGATATGTAGAAAGAAAGCAGCTGGAAGCCTAACAGCTGAACAGCAAAATGCCTGTTATTCAGTCGATGAAGAACTGGGTACACCACATGTTCCTAGAAAAACACAATATACACCTATTACCCAGTAGCATCCCTCCCCCTCAAAACTTTCTGGAAGAGTTAAGCTTAAACTAAAATATATTAAATGAGGAAGTTTATTTATAAATTTTAATAATTTAAAGAGTCCTGCTTTTTCATTTAGATTTTGAAAATCATGTTTGTAACCTGAAAAAAGTATGAATGGCACCCAATTCGTGGGGCAATCACTGGTCATAAATTTATACAAACATAATTTTAAACTGTCATTCAGTTAAAGTCTGAATGTGCTTAAAGTTAAGGAGTTCATGAGCTGTTGCAACAGAGAATTTTACCTGCATACATAAATACCCTCTCAAAGGAGGAGCTTGAGTAAATTACTAAGGACATTCAGAGACTGACAGCTTTTTCTATGCCCAGACATATTTTCTTGATTCTGAGTATATTTTCCAAGATCTGATTCATAATCAGTATGTTCAGTCACCTTCTAGTATCACAGATAACCACAGAAGTAGCGAATTCATTTACCTTTTCTCCTTTTGCGCCGGCCATTCCCAATTCTCCTTTCTGACCCTTTTAACAAAAAAAATTGTATTTAAAACCTCTTATATTCTAAATGCAAATAAAATCCTCCTCTCCTATAACTGTGTTTTGTCCTGTGTAAGATACAAAAATCTTAACTTTTATGCAACAGAAATTTGAGATTTAATCATGTCCAAATTAATTTAAATCACTGTTTTCTTTAGCAGATCTGCAGGCTTCTCAATAAAAACCACATTGTCAATCCTGCAACATATCCAGCATTCGTCTCTTTTCTTCCAAGTTTAATAGGCATCAAATTGTCAAAAATTCATTCTGCTGTTTAAACAGGACAGATGTCTATAAACAATATACTGCCATATGTTGTGGATTCAGCATCTGACCTCCACATAACATTTTTAGGCTGACTGTAAGTATTTCTGGTACAGAAAGTCCCTTTGTTACAGAGAACCTGCTTTAAATATTCATGATTTAGTATTAAATATATTTTCTGAATTTCTTTTAGAGTCTTTTCCGGTAGGCCAGCTCATTTGACTTCTCAGACAATGTTATAAAAACCACACATAATTTTTCCTGCATTTTCCTTTTCTGGCTATCATAAATTAGAGAAGAAAGGTTCACGTGCTGCACCTGCAGGATGGCAATATGAGTTGGCTATTGGACTACACAGATCAAAGAGCCAGTCCTATCTAAAATCTATTCCTTCAAAGACTGTTGTGATAAATCAAATAAAAGACACTGTGTTAAGGGTGACAGAGACAGGTTAGAGACGAGCTTTGAAATTTCTCCAAATTTCATCAAAAATGCTTACAACATCTCCCTTCTGTCCCTTGGGTCCAGGGGTCCCAAGTAGTCCTAGCAGTCTTGTATCACTCTGGGAAGAAATGTCACCACAAAGATCAGAGAACAGAACGTGTCACCATTTATTTACAGTAGCAACTTCTTTACCATAACATTTTCATGTAATTTACCAGTATGTAAATTCAGGAGACCTAATTTACTACTAGAAAGCGACACTAAATGCCTATGCAGTACATCTAAGTAATGTATTGCAGCAACACATCCTTTGTCACGCATTCATACTCCAGTCAGACCAGCAGAAGATGAACAACAGCATAAAAGGGGAATGTCTATGTTGAATATTGCTATGCAAATCTGTAGGGTTTATTTCTTAACTCAGTGCAAAGAACATACTTTTATGCTCATGATTACAGTACATTTCTCTAGTATGTTAGAAAATAACAATAAAAATCACTTCTCTCCTATGACAAAAGCACAAACTTTTTACTTTTGAGCAGCATGAAATGTAAAAATAGAACTACTTTAAGTCTACTACAGTAGTGAGACAAAAGGAGAGGGAACGAAAATCATCAACAGGCTCCTCACACTGCTCCTCAAAGCAAACAGACAGATTTAAGGACCAGGGGTTCAGGTTGTATACTGACTCAGGTATTATTGCACTGCATCTGTTTACTCTTCTGTACAAGGTAAAGACAGAATAAAATACAAAGCAAATGGTTTCCTTTTGACAAAGCCAGGCTCAGACTACCTAAGGGAACATGTTTTCTTTTAATGACAACAGAAAAAGCAACAAAACCAACAGCCCTGAAAAATGAGCTTGAGTCTGGACCCAAGGAGACCAAGTCCTAGAACATCTGCCAGTGGGCTGAATGGGAACCCTGAGCAAGCTATGGCCATGTTCCAGTTTCCATATCTCTAAAATGGCAAAACATCATGATGAATACGAGTGCCATTTCTACTCTGTTAATATTTTCAGAAGTTGATAAATGAATATAATCTGAATAAAATTCATACTTGTTTTATAAATGTCAATGTCCTGAGAGAGCTTCCTCAGCGTTTAGGGTTTGTAACACTGTTACCACCCTAATGATCAAAATCAGCTCCAGAGCAAAAGGCAGACACCCAAAGAAGGGAACCTGAGTATTGCTGAGACGTCGTTGACTACTGCTTGACTGAGAAAAATCTAGGTGTCTGTTATTATCAGTACACTGTGAGTTATGATTTATTTTGAGTTGTGCATTTCTTTTGCATACATGGAGGAAAAGAAAGGGTATTAGACCAAACAACTACTTTTATACTCTTTGCATATTTATAGGTCATTTGGTCTTTACAACAAAATATAAGTTAAATATGCCAAAGAAAAAAATCTTAGAAAAGTAATAATGAATTATTTAAGAATAATTTTTAATTATTATGAATTATAATGGTTTTGAAACATTTCCTCAGCAGACTGTGATGTAGTTTCAATTGCTTTTTGTTGTAGCTGCACTTTTATTTTTACATGTTGGAGAATATTTTAGATTAAACTGATCTGTATGTCCTTTCCAAAGATGTTTAGAAGCAGGTTTGACTGAAGTGACCTTATATTTATGTAAGGAAAACTAGTAAGTAAAAAAAGTGACAAGCAGAGGCCTTGAATGCCCAGGCAAAGGATGATAACAGAGGCTGGAGAGTGTATAAACACAAATCATGAAGCACCATTTACCAGTCACTGAAGGAACGTAACCTACAGAGCAGGGCAGAACCAGTTTCATGGCATAGCGAAGAAAACAAAATGCAGGTATCGAACACACAAAAAGCATCTCATTTATGCTGAAAGCGCAAAAGGCATAACGAGGAGGAATATAAAAATAGTCACACACCTTGCAAGAACAGGCACAAACAAAGAACAGCAAGGGAATAAATACTCCAGCACTGTCTCCCGCCCCATTAAGGATCAATGCTGCTACTTATCCTCAGCAGGTTCCCCTCACTTTCATTAAAGAAAGACTGCTGATCTTGATTTGCCATTCAGCACAATTTGCTGCTGCTATCAGCAATTGTATTTATAGTGCTCTCTTTCACTGTGCACATGGATCAAGTAAATTATACTTCTAAAGACTCGCACTCCAGCCTCCTTACATGATAAAGTGATTGATATTGAGCCAGAAAAACCTTGGTTGCAACAAACTATTAAATACATTGTGCATTTACAACTACTCATCGATATCGTATAGAAATCAGAAGAATTGAAAATAATCTGCTAAGAAACAGAGAAATTATAGACAGACATTATTCATTATGATGGGTTTTAAGATCTCTCTCACGGATCCTCCAGTTTTCTTGGTAACAGTTTCTTGTGATTCCCAGAACCACTAATGCAAAGAGGCCATAGTAATATCCTCAGAAAAAAAGAGATCCTCTAATCACTATAGCAACAAAAATGTGGTCACAATTTAAACACTTTAAAAAACCAGACTGAAAGAAGACCTTGTGAGATCCTTAAGAACATGCATAAAATGTTGGAAAACGACAAGAGACTGTTTTCTGTGGTGTAAGGAATCTCAAAAACCTAGAATATCACTGAAATATCACCCTACATTTGTAAATAATTGAGGCACATTGCAAATTAGATGCTGAAATGTGAAAGATTGCTTGGTACCCTCAAGGTGCAGTGAACAAAATCAGCACTCATCATACTGCATAATGGCATGGGGAAAAAAGGAACGTTGCTGGTGCACACGTCTGCCTAAATGAAGAATCAATGGCAAAGATGACAAGCTGTCCTTGTCTTTGATGACCTCTCTGATGCCTTTGTCTTGTCCTTGTTGGGAATAACCCATTCCCATCATAAAATGTGTAGAAACCAAGATGTTTGCTGTAGCAGTTGGAGGTTTAAGTCGACTCTAAGAAGATCTGAACACAGTTACACAAAATTTGCGTATTTAAAACCCGTCACTTGATCAGAAAGTCATCTCCTCAATCATGTGAAACCAAACAGCATTTCCTTGTTGAACAATTAATTGTTCATGACAGAGTCATTAAAATCTTCAAACTAGACAGCTGAAGGAAGAAGAAAGTTGGTAAACTGTACAGGATTTAAAAGAGTATTAATTTATAGACACAGAGCAGCTGGTCTACATTTTTCCAGAATATTGTTAATTAGGAAACATAAGACACCTTAGGAATTCTTAGAGCCTTACAATGAGAAGAAATGTGATTTTTGGAGACAGATGCTTGCAAATTCCTGAAGATCACCACTGTTTATATTTCCTCCTACAGAATTAACCTTAAAGGGACTATCAAGGTAAAAAAGATTAACAGTCCAGAGATGGGGACTGAGTTACAATAAATATGGTATTGATAGAGGAAACATGGCTGGTATCAGTGAACGCTGTCTTTGGCAGGAAAAATAAAATGGTAAGAAAATGAAAGGTATAAACCCAAAATACAGAAAATGTCAACACATACACATGCAATGGCAGACCAAAACCAGAAACTAATTCTCCCGCTATGAAAATGTCCCTGTCCAGGACAGTGTATAAAACTATGCTTAATTCCTAATGCGTGTTCTAAGGTGATTTGGAATAGACTGAATATCAGAAATATCACGGAAATCAGCAATAAAAGCAACTGGAAATATATGAATTTGACATGAGTTTTGCTCCAGAATCCCTATTCAAAGAAAGATTTTTGTACTCATATGGATATGCTATAGAATAAAAATATCCTGAATTCACCAGCTCTTTATAGTTACACATTTTAATATTAAAAGAAATGGATGTCTTCCAGGTTTGACCTGCATGACTTAAGGTGTGATACACACAGTAACCTTTGTAGTAAGCAAGTATTCCTGTAATAGTGCTTCAGCAGTCTTTGAATGAAATACAATTTTCTGATCAGATAAGTTACGTACTCACTTTTGCATCCATTAAGAAAAATTGTGTGATCTTTAAATTACAATGCCTTATAATGTCAGACACTACAAATGAGTTGAAAAATCTGTGGTAGGAATTTAAAAGCTCTGTCACATGGAACACTCTCCTACACAATTTTAACTTTTTTTTTATGAAGTACTGCAGGAGGTTCTGTAATGAAAATATTTTTATTAGGGATCAAAACTGTGATCATTTCTACCTTAGATAGTTCTTAGTCATAAACAAATCAATCTCATAAACATAAATCTCATAAACAATCAAATCTCCATACCTGATTATATTGCTTGTCCAAAGAATCCAGAATTCCTTTTAGTCCAGAAGGACCCTATATGGAAAAAAATGCATCAGAAGGTCATTTTAACTTAAGTAATATTTTGTTTACATACTGGCATACACACACCCTAAAGGTTGCTTTAGGAAACTGAACTCTACTCAGTTTTAAAAATGGTTGTTCCTCAACAAAATGGAGGTTGTTTATTAGAGATGCTATGTCAGAGATTAGTCAGAGTTTTTGTCACACGTTTTAATTTTGTATAACGTCTTTGTTGTTTTACATGCACTGTTATTATACACAAAGGCCTTCCATTTTGTCAAACATGATTTGATGTACAAATAATATCTGAGAGGTTAGGGTTGGTGGCAATCGGTCCATCTAAGAAGGCAGAACTGACACCCACATCAACTTTAATACAAATCCCTTCTGGTATGACCAGCATTTCTGTTCTGCAGCATTTAAAATCTCCCAAGGAAGTACCATTACTGGTAAGGAGAGCCATCAGAGATTCACAGAATGATTTCTACATGCGGGAAAAGGTTGTGAATGTGTGATAAAAACAAGTAAAGGTACTTCCTTGAGGTACTGAACTTCAAAAAGATGTGAAACACGACCATGATTTTGAGTCAACAAACAGACTACTTCCCTGGGGAAAAAAATTTCAATCTGATGGAAACTGACTAATTAAAGAGAGGCAATAACAAATTTCCCATGGAGTCTGAGGGTATAAAAAACAAGGAAGATGGTAAAGCCAGATTAAAGTCAAATAGGCAAAAGCTATTAAAGCTAACGGATAAATCAGTAAGACGTGGCAGAACGTTATTGCAGCATACCAGAACAAGACAGGAGTGCTCTGAGACATCGTCACTAAATCATGAAATATGATTTTACGTATTTGCTGTGATTTCATTGTTGCAGAAATACAGCGGTACTTAAATATTAGGGGGCACTACAAAGAGTTGGAAGCCAGAAGAAACATGACAGGTGCCTCACTCCCTCTTTGTTCCCCAACATCAGAAGAGATACAAGGCCAAAAATTTTTCCATTAATTTTATTTTGGAAGTGAATTGTCACTTCAAGTTTATATTGAGAAATAAGATAAATACAGACATGACGTTTTGACTGGGATGCTCACTCAACTCTGATTTCTGAAGTTATTAGCAGAATTTTTACTTCGATATCCACATTAAGGATGGCAATCCAGAACTGGGATTGAACCGTGACAACACTGCCTACTTATTAGATGCCTCAACTTCAATACTGTAATCCTGCAGTGCCAAATCCTTGAATCCAGAATCCTTGCAGGATTCTGTAATCCTGCACGGAGTAAAAAATGAGAATTTATGCTCCCTTCTCATTTGCCACCATGTTGTTTCTTTTTCTGTTTCTCCACAAATGAAACTGCTGCAACCACACAACCCAGAAATGATTGAATGCTGTATCTGTCACCAACCCTAACCTCACAGATATTTTTTGTACATCAAATAAATCATTTTTGACAAAATGGAAAGCCTTTGTACATGTCATGGTTTTGAAAAACAGATATAACCTCAAAAAAGCCCAGAACTGTCTCATGAAGCAGGCAGTCAAGGGGAACTTAAGGCATTTGGGTTGCATTCTTGACTATGCCACAGCCTTTGCGTTACCAGAGGTAAACCACCTCTCTGGTTTTAGTCTTCCCATTTTCAAAAACTGACATAAATGTAATTATTTTATCTTTCCATCAATCTTTCTAAAATAAAAGTAATAAAAGGAGCGCACAACAACAGTAAGTACTTTTATTCAAGGGTGTTTTCCTAAACTCTAGCCTCTTTCTTCTCTTCCACGCTGTTTCTCTCCACTTACATAGCTGCATAATCCACTCTGAATTCTTTATGGACAAGAAAAGAATCAGTAGCATTGGCTTGCAACTGGAGAAGCAATGAAATTAAGAGGAGTTGAAGAATTATTGTACAGGCAGTTTCCAGCTTTTGAATGAGAATTCTGCACATCTGCCACTTTGAAGATCACTTGAGCAGGGTTTCCTTTTTCTTTTTTAATATCAAGTTTTGTAATTGAGAGAAGTGAAGCACATAGAGAGTATAGCTGCATAAATAAGAAAAGAACTGAAAGTGTGTCCTGATTGTTTTCCAAAATTACAAACAGCTTTCAGATGTTATTTCTATAGAGAAGGCAGGAATAGAAGCACAGGTGCTTAAAAGGTAATAGCACCAAACTGTGAAATTACTGGGGTATATAATATATTTGTCTCCCTTCACTTTTTATAGTTCGTCTGCATTTCTGTAAAGACAAGACTGCTGAAAATGTCTATCCAGCCCATGCAGTAAAATGTGTAACAAGTAATTGCACTGGTTGCAGCCCAAGAACAGGCCATTTTGGAGAACGAAGCATTGCAAGTGACTCAGTGTAATCACTTTATCCATCTACTTCAGATCTGTGCCTGCCCATTAAAATACAATACTGGTTTTCTCATTACTATAACATCAAAAATCGTGAAACTCATCAGTGAAGATGTGCAATATTGTGTAACTATTCCAAAGAGCAAATGGAAAGAATGATGAAGGCATGACATCTGCCACAATAGAATACATTAAATAAATTACATTTTTATATGGATTTTAAAAACTTAAATGCATAGAAACAAGGAATATGATCAACCCTTGCCAGTCATTCCCATCTTACCATGTAAGCATTTCTAATATTCTTCCAAAAAGCAGCTGAAAGTCCAGGAATATCAGAAATGCTACTGCCAATTTTCACTTATCATTGCTTTAATTTTCTGTTTATTGTAATTAACTGATAACATTCATTCCCCTTCAAAATACTGGTAGCGGAATGACAGTATTTCCTGAGGGAGAGGAAATGAGATTTCCAAGGTAAACTGCTGGCTACTTAAGATAACTAGTTTGGTGGCACTAACATACATACTGAATAATAAAAGACCAAAAGTGTATGGAATTAAATGAAGAAGTTCAAGTAGTCTGTGAACTTCTCCACTGCCTCACTTAAAACACAGACAAAAATGAAACTCTGTTTTAATTCAAGACTTTAAGGAGTAACACCAAGCTAATCTTCCAAGCGAAAATAGTTGTGAAGATAAAAAGATGTGAAGTTCAGCCCCTTGTGAAGGTAAATGATAAACTGAATGATGAGCTCCAAGGGCTACAGCAATTGTGAAATAAATCTATTCTGGTTGCAAACAATAACTTTGGAAATGTTGGCAGAAAATAGCATGTTTAGGAGCATGAATAATTGTGACTGCAGTTTACCTATCTGTGATTTAGCAGACCCAAAGTTTCTTTCCTATCCCTGCCACAGACAGCTTGCACAAAATGGCACTTGTCCAAATCAGACAGTCTTCATGTTTCCTACCTTTAAAATCCACTTCTGCCAAACAACAACACTGGGCAGAAGTCACACTCTGACTCACCCCAAAGAACGCTGTTATACTCGTGGAAGTCCATAGCACAAGTCTAGCCTGGCATTCTTATTTTAAAAACAATCTGGTGTTCCACTAAAATGAGAGCTATTTAGAAATGGAATTCCTCCAGTCATAACAGTTCCAGTAGAGACAGGGAAAATTGGGACAGAAAAAATAAAGTCAACTCTTAATGGAGAAACCAGTAAAACTCCTTTTTCTGTCCTTTAGCCTACCTATGTAAAAAGAAATACCCCGCTGCTGATCCATGTAAAAGTAAAAATTAAAAAAGAGCAAAAAAGCCCCAACCCCAAAACCTCCCACAACTGACCATAATACGTGAAAGACTGTCAGACATCATGCAGCTATTTTCTAAGCTGGACAGATGGAAAAAAAAAATGATCTCCTCTTAGCAGAACTCTACACAAAACCAGGCAGGTAGTAATTCTACAACCCAGGACCAGAAAAGGATTTTGCCTAAGCCAAGTGTGTAGAACTGGGTCTGTACATCCTTAGGAAAACAGCATTTAAATACTAAATTCAGGCACCCCCCATAAATTCACTTTTAAGTACTGAAAAAAAAATGGTGCGGGAACCAGAAAGCCAATGCATTAGACATCTGTAAAATAAGCCACGATTTGCTGGTAACCCCTCCTTCATTGCTAAGTCCTGTAGATGGTTTTGTTAGCAGCTAGAGCAGAAGAAAGTTGTCAGTTCAGTTCTGCAGTCAGATCAAAATGTTTTACTTACAGCCTCACAGCATCCTACTAGTATAGTATTTTGTTTGTTTGTTTCATAAGATCAGCATTTCAGTTTCTGTGAAGAGCCATGCCGAGCACGATAACAACAGGTGAAAGAGCCAGTATCTCTTTCAGAAGACTTCAGAAGAAAATGCAAGCAAGAAAATGTATGAAATATGTTTGAAGGTTACAGAGATTTTGATTTCACGACCATGATTTTCAGAATGCTGCTGAGAGTGAAATGAATAGTGTATTTAAGAGAAGCTTTAAATTGCTCTTTAAAAGCAAGGAAAGGATCAAAAAGCACTAGAGGGAGCTGCTGTTCTACCTAACCCGCTCGGAGTCCTTGTTTTCAGCATAAATTGTTACCCACTGGAGTGAGACAAGCCTGAGCACACATCTCAGCTCTCCAGTATTCAAATAACAGAACAGTACTCAAAACCAGCATCAGGCAGCAAAAATGCAAACCATGAATTCTAAACCATAAGGGAGTAACAGAACACTTCAAAAGTTTATAATATTTAATAAACTTTTAAATATACTCAAAGGAGGATCATCATCTGCGTAGGCTTACAGAAATACTTTTATAACCTGTCAATAAAAATCCTCATTGACTCCTCGCCTTTTGCAGGCACAGGCTTTGCTCCAAAGGGAAAAATGACATAAAAGAAAGGATAAGGGGAAAATGACACTAAAGAAAAGGTACCTGGAAGAAGTTGCACAGAGTCCCACTTTAATTGAGTAGTTCATCACCAGCTGCAAATCAGTCTACGTTTCTGACACTGACACAGATTTTTAATCAAAGATGTGCAGGTGATGTTATGGGACTAGAAACTCACTACAAATACTAATTTTACTGAAAAAATAATCCCCAGAAATTAGGGTAGGGAAAAAAAAAAGAGATGAGATACTGAGAGAAGGTTAGAAAAATCTGAAATACTGTCACCCAGTAAGTAAAAATTGTTATTTTAATTAATCAAAACTCACACCATTTAGTAGTGTCCAATTTAAAGCCCTCTTGACCATTCAGAATGTGGTCTCATAATCCCGCCCTGCACACACTTTTTTTAGGATTATCCTTTATACCAGGTCCCCTGAGTATTGTATCCTGTCCACCAACTTCTTCCTCAAGGAGGCAGAACTTTCCTTCTCACAAGTGTTTTTGTCATTACTGAACACCTGGCTGTTCTAATATCTAAATTAAGTACTTAAAGTTATGGCATAAACTGATAAATAAATTAGGTAAATTTATTAATTTCGAACACACAGTGTGGTCTGTAGCTACCCTAACAATTAATGACTGAATCTCCTTTTTCTCAAATAGAAATATCGTATTCTTCCGAAACATCAACCAAACACCAAACTTACTTTCGCTGGAGAGTCTTTTTTACATGTCCAGTCTATCTGTCAAGCATTTTGTACCCTGTATATGCCAGACTTATGACAGCAAGCACCCTGCAGGTGTGATATTTCTATTGCACTTTGGAAAGGCCAAAGTAAAGGCTGACTATATATCCACGTGCACGAGGAAGTTGCCACTACTTACTATCAGAAGAGAAAGCCTAACTGGAAGCACTACATAACAAAATTTAATATGGTTTGAATCTTGAAAAAGAGAGGAGTGATGGATCATGTTAAGTCTTCTAGCTATGTAGAAGCCGTAGCGCTTTAAACATGGGGATACTGCCAATGCACATTAGCAGGCATTACTGCTCTTAGAGTATGCTTTTTCTATGTGTTATAGACTCAGTCTTGGAAGAGGAACACAAGATGCTGGTGTAGCTGTATCCAAAGTAAGGACTGCATCAAGACAGTCATACCAGAAATAAACACTTTTAACCAATATTTAGGACATGACTTCTTGAGGAACGCTTTTCTGGTATGGAGGCTACAGTACCATTTCGAGCTCCTTTATGGATGCTGCCATGGTGACAAAGTTGTGCTTTCCATTTGCTGTTAGAAAACCTGAAATAGGTCTCACTAATAAAAATGCAGTTTAGATTCCACTTAAGATTTCTGGTACGTCTGTCAAGGATCATACATCTTCACAAGCCTGACCTGCCAGCAAATCTATGATGTCAGAAATCTGCAATGGAAACGGCTTTTCACTCGTTCACAAAAAGCTAAGCAGATTAGGTCTAACATTGACCTCTGATATGGTTTGCTTTTTTTTTTTCTCTTTTAAAGGTCATGTTTGGCATTTGTATTAAGAAAGATTCTGCATCAGTCCTTTCCTTTATTCTGACTCCTTCAGTCTGCAGTACCGTTTCAGCATTAGGAAGCCCAAACTGTACAAAAGACTCAAATAAGCAAGGCTTCAATATGACTATACGCAGGGGAGAAGAGGGATCGGGAGGAATTTTTAACGATGTAGTTTTATGCAGGATAAATGAACTCCATCACCAACTCCTCTTTCTGAACACATTTTGCAAGGAAAAAGGGGAAAAAATATAACATCTATGCAGTTTTTTTTTTAGATGCATGTAAATGACATCTATTTCATTTTAGTCATTGTATTTCATGCAGCAGTGCATTATTCTCTTCTCTACAAATAAGACAAGTTTTTCCTTGCAGTGAGGTTGAAGCATATGAATCAAACGTTCTGATGCATACCCATTTCAGGTAAGCAGAAAAAAGCATTATGAAATCTTTGTTTGATGTTAAGAATGTAAAGCAGTAGAAGTTTATTTCATCCACAATCAAATAGCTGCTTTGTATTTGTACAACACAATATATAGGGAATTTTACAAATATGACAAAGTCTTCCTCTACAAAAGGAAGGCTGCATTCATTCTAGACTAATATACATCCACGTCTGACTTCAAATTTGAAACCCTGTAACCCTTAAAAAAAAAAAATTGAAATCTCAAACCGCTTCGATCTGAGCCATACTCTTCTGTTCTTCATAATACAAATCCTTTCAGAGTCATGTATTTCTTAATCTTTTTAATTCTTCAGTAAACTCATTTGAACTACAGCTGAGCGCTCATTCCAGTGCTGAGTATAATCCTCCCCACCATTCAGACAGTTGGCACATGCTTCACACAGTCCTTCTTTCAAATTACCCCTCAGAGACAGAAATTATCCCATCGTCTACAGAGCATCACGCATTTTGCAAAGTGAATGAAGGCATAGTATTCACATTTAGCACACACGGCCAGTCTTTCTTTGCAATGCCAGACAATTTCTGCTTACTCCGCTGAAGTCTGCATCTTGTTCTTTCCCTCCTGTGTAGTCCCTTGTATTTGTGGACCCAGTCCTTTTATCTTCCCTGTATCAAAAGGCTAGCAATAGCAGTTGTTTGATACAACAGCGAAAACACAGGTCAATTGTTTTCAACTATACTTGTGATCAGGTAACCTGCTATAAAAATGCTAACAAAGTACCAAGATAAAGTGAAAATTTCCCATTCCAATCATTAGTAACTCACAGGAGGTCCTGGTGGCCCTGGTTCTCCTGGGAGACCTGGTTTGCCTCGCCTTCCCTGGAAACAAAAAATAAAAGAGACATTTATAAATGCTATGGCCAGTGACTGATTTGGAATAAGATTTCTGTTTAACAAAAGACTTATTGCCTTGCTTATTAGCAAAAAATTCCAAAACTATAAAAAATGAATACTCTGTATCAGTCACCGCAACACTAATTCGAGTACTTTTAGGATTGTTCATAATAATTATGACAAACTATATTTGCATCACTCTAACATTTACTGTCATGTTTTAAAGCTGTCTTGAATGTGAGTGCACATTGATAGGGCTATAAACAGAGCATCTTGATGAGGTGTAAAGAAATCATATTTTATCTGAATGTACCAGAGCTTGGGATGTCAAACTGTGCTGCAGTAGTCACCCTTACTTGCACAGTAAGTACATATGTGCAGTATAACCCAATTAACAAACACTCACACCCTTCTCCTCCAGGATGTGATAATGAGCAGAAAAGTCAGAGATTTATTTGCAAAAACAATTCACCTTCCTTGTGCAATTACTACCATCTGTGTATATAATGCACATGCAAAATCATTTGCTTTAAAACTTAAGGTCCATAAAAGTATACTTAATGGGAGACTTTCCACTCAGATTCTAAAAAGATGCACATATAACTATTATAATTTTTTAGTACAGAGCTCGACTGAACAACTGTTGTTTTCACATATGCTTTTTTTTTAGGAAGATCAACATAAAAATGGAAGAAATTTACAGTAATTTACATCTTTATTACCAAGTTGAAATCTGATGTGCATTTTTTAGAAACAAAGACGAGAACAGCTAATATCTAGGTGCAATGGCAAAAAACAAAATCAATAAACCAAACACAAACTATATTCATTACGACAAAATTTTTCCCTTGCATACGGCAAACATAAATTAACAAAAAGCATCAGGGGGATGTCCTGGTGAAAACTTGGCTTAAGAAGTTATAAAATGAAAACGCTTGCTGACAGGTCACAATTAACACATAAGTGTATTTCTGTAAGCTGTGGTACCTACTTCTAAGCCTGCTTCTGTGCTTCACTAAATGACGATCTCACACAAAGTGCAGAAGTAATCTAAGGAACAGAAAGCGAAATCTCAGCTTTGTTTTTTACAGGTGAGAGCCCTGATCTGTAGGAAACTACTCTCATGCTCTGCCTTTCATTAATCTTCATCTACGCTGAGGGGAAACAAGATGATGAGTTAGGGTGGAAAATCCCTTTTCCTCACACCCTCCAGCTCACCAGGGTAACCTCTTGCCTAGATGCCTGGGACTCTCCTGAGAAGCAGGAGGTAGGGATTTGGATCCCTTCAAGTTGAAGAAAGAACCAAGTAAGAGTTGTGGGGATGTGTTTCATCTGCCGGGCTGTGCCACATAACATGTACGCTGCCACCACGGTTTTACGAATGTCCCCAGCCAGTTAGTGTGTTTTAAGGGCAGCGTGGAAAAAAAAAAATACCCCTCAGCATATCTGGAGTGCCAGATTCCTGGGTCTTAACTAGCTGAGACATATGTTATGTGCTGAGCTGTTTAATCCTGCCAGTACTCGCACGTGCAGGGCTGTAACTGGGGCAGCTCAGGGTAAATTTTCAGAACAAAAATAAGGTACTAGGTACCTATATTGGGCTCACGCTATGCTACCCCTTACCAGCCGCCCCCACCATGTCCTCTGCTGTGTTGGTAACACTCTTCATGCAGCCTTGTGAGGAGCCAGAGCTGGGAACTCATCCGGGCTAAGGATGGCCCACAAAAAAGTAGAGCTGTTTTTGATTTTGCTCAGTTCATTGGGCAACTGAGTAGCTTGCCTGGCCTGACAGAGGGCACAGTACCAGGAAAGGCACACATGACCAAGAAAAGGGGGCTGTTGTTAGCTAGATCTAGACTTCTGGACTGATCTCTACTTCAGAAATACAGACAGAATCTACTATTTCCTGACTTTTTTGAAAAACAGTGAACTTTCCTCAAAAAGTATGAAAAACAGATTGAGAGGTAATGATGTAAGTAATAAACAACGATAAATTGCTTCATACTTTTTAAATAGTCCATCTAAGTTATAATGATCTATACTGTTGACTTCTTGAAGCACCCTCCTTTTCCTGTTTGGACTTATTTAAAGTATCCTGAGGATGACACTTAAAATCTCAGCAGTCTAAACAAAGTATCAAGGAAGTGTCAGGAGGAAGAAGGCAGGGCTTTGACTGGCAGACACAACTGTGAATGAGGTGTTAATTACACAGGAAAACATGGAACATGTTGGGAAGGCAATTTTATCTCTATTTACAAGACGAGCTAAAATGTGATTTATGGCATATTGCAAAGTCAGAACTTGATAAACTCTCTGACAAATCAGTTATAATAAAAAAATTGGGCATAGTTATTTTTCACGGCCCTTTATTAATTACCAGAACACCTCCCTCGTGAAACACAGAAGAAACACTTGCTCTACCTTTTATCCAATCATTACATTATTAGTCATTATACTATGTGCCATGTGTACAAAAAACCTGCAGAACAATCACACAGGTTGGTATGATGGATCAGCTTTTTCTAGAGGAACAAAAGGCCTTTTTTCTTCCTACAAGCACCCTTCTAAACTGTCTGATATTTTAATTTTAACACAGAAATCTGTAAAAGGCCACTACCTTTCAGCAACCCCTTTCAGATAACAGAGATTCAGATCTTCGGGATACACACAGCTCCACCTACTTGCCAGCACTCCTGCTTCTCTATGACTTCCCAGCATCCATGTGGAAAAAATTAAAATATATACTATAATAGTAGTGTAAGTAAAGTAGTTCATGTTTTTGTTTAGGATAATTAAAACAATTAGAAGAATGTTTTTGATAAGCCCATTACGGCCTTGCCTTGAGCAGACCATGAGCCAGACTGACTGAATATTTACAGTTTGATTCTGAGTCTTCCTTCTAGCAAGCAAGCAACAGTGAAAAACGTCTTGATGGCCTCTCTCTGGTTCGTTGAGTGGGCTTAGCGGAGAGCCACAGCTCCCACCTCCTGCTCAGAAGCGGGTCTTGGCAGCCCCATGAGAGCAGCACTTGCTGCCACGGTGCTGTGCATGGGGCAGGCAGCCGGCACAGGAGGCCCATTACCTTTACTTTGTTGAGTTCACTGAGCAAATATTGAGATTATAAAACCACTCAAAATATAAATGAATGTTCTAGACTACACATACTTGCTTTAACTAAATAAAAAAGCAATACCACCTATACTAACTCAAAAAAGCTAAGTGGTGTCTACAAGTTGTCTAATGCCACTTAGAATAACATCTAAAGAAAAGCAAAGCAAAACAGTCACTGGTTATTTCCTTTATGCTGCACACATTTTTGTTGGCAATCGATTTGATAAGAAGTTGTCTAAATGTTACTGATATTGCATCCTGTCCCCTTGACTCATGAAATGTCTCCCCTCAACTAATTCGGACAGTCGTCTACTTTGCTCTTTTCCATAGGACAAACTTCAGCTATGATACACACACAAATAAATCAAATAACAAGTGCTTGGTAAAGGGCAAAAAAGACAAAATATTAAAAATAAAATAAATGAGGCATTATATGCTTCAGCAAACCCCAGCTGAGTGCCTAGCTGAAGTACATGGTCAACTGCCCTCTTTATTCCTCTCTTCCTTCACCTCTTCTGTTAATCGAAATGACTTGATGAGCTTTGCCTTACATTAGATGGAAAGCTGCTCAGAAGAGAAGCTCTGTGTGCTCTGATTCTGACTGCCGCCCCTGGGCACTGCTGCAGATCCAACACACAGTGCAAGAATTCAAAGTCTATATTGCAACCCCCAGCTGTATCATGTTGCATCCATCTATTCGCATATCTCTAACTATAGAAGTGTAAAATTGCTAATCCTAGTGTCTAAAAATAAGATGCGGATTATTTTAGGATAAAATTGAGCAGAGTTATGTAGAAACACTGACATGATTTATGGAATTAATAATTTAAAGAACCCACACTTGAGTACAAAGGTAAAAGTTCTTAAATAAGCCTGTGTGAATTTTCAAGGGAAACTGTCAGTCAGCAGTTCCTGAAACACATCATCACATTTCAAAACAGGAACTAGTTCTAGAGAAAGTAGGAAGCTGAGCTTTAAAGTCATAACTACTGTAGTTATTATGTAAGATTAATGAGGCTTATGTAACTCATTTGCCAAGCTAAACTAAGATTCTCTTGAATAATCCTCAAACCAGAACGACAAAGGGACAGATGTACCCGAAGCAGGAGGCACGTGGACAGTAAAGACCCCTGTCTCAGCGTGCCCAACCCGTGGACACCCCGCCAGCCCCTCGGGCACTTATAAACAGCCATGAGAGTAGAGCTCTGGGCAGTTAAAAGACTGTTTTTCTAGATGCCCAAAGTTGCCACTAAGCAGCCAGAGAATTCCCAGTGCCTACACTAATTCAGAGTACAGAAAAGAGGCCTTCCCTTGTCTCAGTCCTCTAAGCCGATACGTCTAGTCCATATAAACTTCCCAGTTTTCCCTCTCTGTCTGTAGTCACAACCTGGTACTCCTGGCAGCTCACCTGCCTGGAAACCCAGTCCAGCCCAAAGCTGGTGACAGTCCTCTGCTCCATGGTTTACCAGAAAAAGTTTGCCAAACTGCCACTTTAGGGGAATGAAGGCAGACATTGCATGGCAGTAACAGTAAGAAAGCCAGTTCAAGAGCTAATTGGAAACAGAAGACTAGAAATAATCAGAAAATTCAGAGCAATCACTCACCCAACCCAACTGCACAACAGCGCACATCTACCAGTCTCCTGTAGGACAGGAGAAGGATCCAAGTCAACTATCTGACAGCTGACAAAGTGAAAATTACACACCAACAAATGCACAGCCTGAATAGAGAGTCTTTATTTTCCATTATGAATTTAGATAAAATTTGGTAATATTTACAGAGAGATTTGACATTTAACCACCTGACTGCACAACTTCTGTTAATAAGAGTTTTGTCGTTAACTTCAGTAGAGTCACAATTGCACAATTTTTTTT